AAAGATGGGCAGAGCCTGTGAATAAATATTTTTCCAAAGAAGATATGCAAATGATCACTAAATACATTAACAGAGGCTCAACATCCTTAGCCACTAAAGAAATGCAAATCAGAAACCAAAATGAGATACCACTTCTCACTCAGTAGAGTGGCTATCAACAAAAAGAGAGATAATGAACCCTGGCTGGCATAGCTCAGTGGATTGCATTCAGGCTGTGAACCAAAGTGTCAAAGGTTCAATTCCCAGTAAGGGCACATGCCTGGGTTGCATGCCACAGCCCCCAGCAACTGCAGATTGATGCTTCTCTCTCTCTTTCTCCCTTCCCTCTCTAAAAGTAAATAAATAAAATTTTTCTTTTTTTATTTAATCATTGTTCAAGTACAGTTTTCTCCCTTTTACTCCCATTCCAGCCCACCCACCCAATCCTCCCCACTTCCCTCCCATCACCACCCTCCCCCTTGTTTTTGTCCATGTGTCCTTTATATTTGTTCCTGTAAACCCTTCCCATTCTCCCCTGAAATTCCCTCCCCTCTCCCTTCTGGTCATTGTCAGCCTGTCCTCTACTTCAGTGTCTTTGACTATATTTTGCTTGTTTCTTTGTTTTGTTGTTTAGGTTCCTGTTAAAGGTGAGATCATACGGTATTTGTCTTTCACTGCCTGGCTTATTTCGCCTAGCATAATGCTTTCCAGTTTCATCCAAGCTGTTGCAAAGGGTAGGAGCTCCTTCTTTCTTTCTGCTGCATAGAATTCCATCATGTAAATGTACCATAGTTTTTGATCCATTCATTTACTGATGGGCATCTAGGTTGCTTCCAGCACCTAGCTATTGTAAATTGTGCTGCTATGAACATCGGGGTGCAAAGGTTCTTTTGTATTGGTGTTTTAGTGTTCTTAGGTCCAATAAAAACCAATAGGATATCCAATTGGATATAGTCCAATAAAATCTTTAAAAAAAAAGACAGATAACAAGTGTTGGTGAGGATGGAGAGAAATTGGACCCTTCATACACTCCTTATGCACTCTGGCAGTTTCTCAAATAGTTAAACACAGAATTACCTTATGACCCATGTGATTTAGAATTATGTACTATAAAATGCATGGATCTCAAGTGTCAATGGATAAATCCTAAAAATGAATATGCTCCTGCAACCAACACAACATCAGAACACAGAACATTGCCCTCACTCCAGAGTTTTCTCATGCCCCCTGTCCAGCCAATCTCCACCATGAAATCCTAGAGGTAACTACTATTCTGATTTCTAGCTCTGTAGAATAATTTTTCAAAAACAAAATTGTTTTTGAAACTCATATAAATGGAATAGCCTAGCACTGTAACATTATAAATATTTCTATCTTAATGCACAATTTTATTCCTATTAAATTTAATCATATTGATTTCCATCTTTCCTTACAGCTCATTGGGAGCATTTTCATCTTGATTCCATCACCCATATTTGCTAATTTCCCCAACTTCGTGCCGTCAACAGACTTAAGCATTCTTTCTGTATTTAATCCAACATAAAACAACAACAAAGATGGAGTCCAGCGGTACTTAGGTGGAACCCTCCCTTCCAAGCTTAGGAGATGAGAAGCATTGTGGAGGTGCTGGGCAAAAGAGGCGGGTGGGGGATGGAGGAAGAAAAATCTCCTCGATGGAGAGGACTGAGGTCCATCTGGATTGCATTGAAAGAGGAAGGTGGTGACAGGCAGTCCCAGAAGGGATGTGTGCTGGGGAGAGGCTAAGGGCTGCAGGGGAAAGTCTGAGAGTCACATGCATAGACATAAACACTGAGGGAGAAGGAGGTAGAGAGCTCCTAAGGGGAAGAACTAAGGACCAATTAGTCACCCAAACTTAGAAGGTCATAAAGGTTTCCAAAGTCATCACAGGAGTCCTGAGCTACAGTTACTGTTTGGTCTGGTTTTATGTTTTGTTTTGCTTGTTTTGGTAAGTTCTGAGTGGAGTCTGGCAGCTTACATGGAAAATTATTTTCTTAGATTTAGAACGTACTGAAATTGTTAAAATCATGGAGGGCTCTTAGTCTCTCCCCTCACTCCCCCAACCTCAAAGCAGCAAGCTTTTGGGGAGAGGCTGAGTGCAGGCTGAGGGGTGGGGGGTAGGGGGAGGATGTTTGCAACATGTTGGAGTCAGCTCTGGTAAGGTAAAGCTCACTTTATCAAAATGTTCCTTAAATTTTTACTTTTGGATTCAGTATTATAGGGCTTCTGTTTCTCTGACATGCATGTGGGCTTAGAAGTACAGATAAGCACACGACCTATGACTGAGGAAACCTGAACCACGATGTGCCGTCATTGTCTGTGGGACCCAGAACCTGTGGCAGATCTCATTGACCTTGTCCTCATCTAAACACGGGTGAGAGCGAGTCCAAAATCTGCCTGGGTGTCAGAGCCAGACAGTTGGTGGGCATCCGGAAACTGCATTTGTTTAGAAGCTAAATTTTGATACTGGTTCACAGACTGGTATTTAAAAATCACTAAACTACTGGTAAGGTCTCTTATAGTTCTAATTTTCTATAATATGTGGTAGAGTATCTTACTTGACTCCAAACAAATCTGGTCCTTTCTGGTCCAGGCATTGATTTCATTTATCTGCATGAATTCATATGCATACTGGTCAAACTGGAGAAAGTTTTGTTGTTGTTGGGTTTTATTTGTTTTGTTTTTGTTTTCTTACAGAGGAGCTTTAGAGAAGATGGAGGGATAGAAATAAAGACAATGGGGATGGAGTGTCTGACCATCTAGCATGGCTATGAGTTAATGGTAGACTGACTTTTAACGTCAACTTCTATGATAAGGAAATAAAAAGATTAAAAAGACATGCCAGTGCCCCAGTTGGCACACACTTCAGGGTAAGAAGGTACTGACACCTCATCCGCAGTGGATCAAACTATGTAACCTTAGAGCAGGAGGTCAACAGGGCTCTTAGGTGCCATTGGAGCTGTCACTGAGCTTGTAGAAAAGCCAAATTCTCCAGCTTCCTCCTTTCCCCATTTACTCCTTGCAACCAACAGCTGACAAATGCAGACACATTCCACATAGTCACCTTCCTTAGGCCTGTCTCTTCGGAGCTCCTTTCCCCACGTGGGCCCTTCTCACCTCAGGGATCCTCTCACCGAGTCTAGTGAACCTTATCTTGAATGAGAGCAATTGCTCACAAGTGACAGCACTTACTGTGTATCAGCCACTATGTCAAACACTCTCCGTAGAGTATTTTATTTATTCTTGTGAGGTAGGTAATAGGATTCCCATTTTCACATGGGCAAATTGAAGCTTAGGCATGCACTGGACACCTGATTGGGTGATTCCCCATTCTTGCCTCTTCTCTGAGAACCTGCCACCCTGCCACCAAAATGGGTTGCTACTGGCATGTTAGCACCAAGCACATACCACACTTCCTCAGGCCAGGGTAGGAGCTTAACCCCAGTGCAGTTTCCTTTTACCAGAAATGTACATTTGAATATAGAGGCATATGTCCTCACTGTTAGGCCCTCCGTAAAGATGGGGCTGTAACACCGGCCCCAGGTGTGTAGCCAGGTGTACCGTGAAGGCCGACTGAGAAAGGAGAAAGAATCAGGTGTGCTGGGTAAAAACAGGAGCAGAGAACTTTGTAACTGCAGAGAAGAGGAAGAAAGAGGCCACACCACGGTCCACTGAGACCCTCTCACCAGCTCTCAGGTTTCCTGAGAATCTCTCTTATTCTTCAAATCAAGTACTCTGTTTTGATTAAGATAAATAGAGTGGCTTTTCAATTATTGGTAACCAGAGGGACCTGACTCAGAGAAGTTAAGTAACTTACCTGATGCCACATAGCTCCAGAAGAACGAGACAGGAGCTACAAAGCCCACACAGGTTTGTAACTGACAAATTGCTCAGACGTTGTCTCCCTCCCAGAGGCTGGCAGGGCAGGCAGAGGGCATTCCCTGCCAGATCACACTGTGTCCTTGTCCCTTCTTTCACACCCAACACACTTTCCCAAGGAACCCCCAGCACAGCATCAAATGGGAAAACAAGTTGCTTAATGATGAGACTATCTAGGAAGAGAGAAGGGCAGCACCATTTTGGTGGGCAGGAGTGGGGCATCATGGGGCAAGTTCCTGTCTTTGCCAAGTCTCCTGTCTTTGCCAAGTCTCCGGTCTTTGCAGGGGCAAGTGGAGCCATCTCCTTTCCCTGTGAGACCCAGCTAAGCAGATGGCTAGGGCGAGAAGGGGTGGGGCAGGATGGAATGGGGACAGCTTAGCCTTTGGAATAGGGGCTTGGACCGTGAAGCCTCCAGGCCCACGTTCCTCAAGGGAACTGCACTCAGATTTGCCCCAAATGTGCAGTCAAGCCAGGTGAAGCCTGAAGAAAAGTGGGTCAAAGCTTCTCTGGGCAGAGCCATGAGAATTGTCTGCTCCCTCGGAGCCACTTGAAGTCTGCAGCTCCTGGAGCTCCGTTTATTGACTCTGTTTATTTATCTAATTTGTCAAGTACTGTCTGCAAGCTCGAGCTGGCCTCCTAAGTGCTCAGCTTCTATCCCGCCTTGCAGGCTTCACCAATTTGATTAGCATACTCTGCACTCCATCTTTGCAGTCATTAATGAAAACACTGATGAATACTGGGCATAAGTCAGATCCCTGGGAGGCCTCTCCTCCATTACCACCTCTTCTTGCCTGGCTAACAACCTAGCAGGGATGACTCTTCTTTTCAGACCATTTTTGCCCATTGTTCAAGAGTTTTTGTCCCCTCTTTTCATCCATGCATTTATTCAATGATTCATTAATTGTGATAGGGTGAGGGACTTGCCACAATTCCTGGCAAATGCAAATTCGTGGCAAATGCTTAACAACTGCAAGCTATTCCTACCATGAGGTGCTGTGGGGAAACAAAGATGCACAGGGAAGACTCCAGCCTTCAATGGCTAGAGTAGGAATAAGAATAGCAGCTTCCAACAGACCTGATACCTCTTTTGTGAAGAGGCAGCTAAAGAGACTCTGGCGCTCGCCATGGCCGATGAAAAGCCCAAGGAAGGAGTCAAGACTGAGATCACATTAGTTTGAAGGTGGTGGAGGAGGATGGTTGCGTGGTGCTGTTTCAGATTAAGAGGCACACGCCACGTAGTAAACTCATGAAAGCCTATTGTGAACAACAGGGTCTGTCGATGAGGCAGATCAGATTCCGAATTGATGGGCAGCCAATCAATGAAACAGACACACCTGCACAGTTGGAAATGGAGGATGAAGATACAATTGAGGTGTTCCAGCAGCCAACAGGGGGTCTACTAAAAAGGGAACCTGCTACTTCACTTCAGAACTCCATTCTTCCAGACCAAGAAGACATTCTCAGTTAGAAAACTGCAACTCGGTTCCATCACATCTTGAATACTACAATATAGTGTCCTCTATTTTTTCATTTTCCCTTTCCCTATTCCTTTATTGTATGTAAAGTAACTGATGTATGTGCACAAGCGTTTGCATTTTTTAACTAAATGGCCAATGGTATATTTTGATTGACATCACATGGAGATAGGATGGGGAAAATACTGGTTCTCTGAAGATACCCCCTTCTCCATCAGTGGCATGCTCATTCAGCTCTTATTTTTATATTCCAGTAAGTTATTTTGCTCTTGCTGTTTAAGAAAAAAGAGAACAACACAAAAAATTATTGCATACCTTGCTTGATTGGAGAATTTTGAGGTTTTTTATTTATCATTGTAAGACAAAGACAACTTTATAACTTTTTGTACATAGCTGTTACATGTAGAGCAATCTGTCTTTAAGTAGGGATAAATTACTCTAAAGAAATGAATCCGCCCTGGCTGGCATAGCTCAGTGGATTGAGCACGGGCTGCGAACCAAAGCATCACAGGTTCGATTCCCAGTCAGGACACATGCCTGGGCTGCAGGCCACAACCCCCAGCAACCACACATTGATGTTTCTCTCTCTCTCTCTCTCTCTCTCTCTCTCCCTCCCTTCCCTCTCTAAAAATAAAGTAAACAAAATCTTAAAAAAAAAAAAGAAATGAATCCTAGGTAGTATTCCCTTCAAGTCAAGCATCTGGTTGTTTAAACAAAGTTCTTGATTAAAATGAAAAAAAAAATAGCAGCTTCTACTTGCCTGTGCTGGGCTAAGTATTAAGCAGATACTGTCCAGCAGGTGCTGAAGATTATACACCGTAGGGAGGTAACTGTTGGTAATGATTAAGAGTAAGAATTCTGGGAGCTCCTGCCAGGATGGAGGTGTAGATATGCTTTACTTCCTCACACAACCCATAAGAAGGATAACAACCAATTTAAAAACAAAAACAACCAGAACTGCCAGAAAATCAAACTATATGGAAGTTTGACAACCAAGGAGTTAAAGAAGAAACATTCATGCAGACCAGTGAGCCAAAACAAAGAAATACGACCTAAATGAAAGAACAAATCAAACTCCAGAAAAAGAGCTAAGCAAGGAGATAGCCAACTTACTGGATGCAGAGTTCAAAACACTGATAATCAGGGTACTCACAGAAATGGGTGAGTCTGATCACAAAATAAGGAGGAAATGAAGGCTACCCAAAGTGAAATAAAGCAAAATATTCAGGGAACCAATAGTGAAGGGAAGGAAACTGGCATTCAAATCAACAACTTGGAACAAAAGGAAGAAATAAACATCCAACTGTAACAGAATGAAGAAACAAAAATTCAAAGAAATGAGGAGAGGCTGAGAAACCTCTGGGACAGCTTTAAATGTTTCAACATCCAAATCATAGGGGTGCCAGAAGGAGAAGAGGAAGAGCAAGAAACTGAAAACTTATTTGAAAAAGTAATGAAGGAAAACGTCCCTAATCTGGCAAAGGAACTAGACATGCAAGTCCAGGACACGCAGAGGGTCCCAAAGAAGTTGGGTCCAAGAAGAAACACAGCAAGGCACATCATAATTAAATTACCCAGGATTAAAGATAAGGAGAGAATCTTAAAAGCAGCAAGAAGAAAGGAGAGAATTATCTACAAAGGAGTGTCCATAAGACTTTCAGCTGATTTCTCAAAAAAAATCTTACAGGCAAGAAGGGGCTGGAAAGAAGTATTCAAGGTCAAGAAAGGCAGGGACCTACATCCAAGATTACTCTATCCAGCAAAGCTATCATTTAGAATGGAAGGGCAGATAAAGTGCTTCTCAGGTAAGGTCAAGTAAAAGGGGTTCATCATCACCAAGTCCTTATTATATGAAATGTTAAAGGGACTTATCTAAGGAAAAGAAGATCAAAACTATGAACAATAAAATGACAACAAACTCACATCTATCAACAACTGAACCTAAAAAATAAAAACTAAAACTAGGCAAACAACTAGAACAGGAATAGAATCACAGAAGTGGAGACCTCATGGAGATCGATGGGGAGGGGAAGGGGGAGAATGGGGGGAAAGTGTACAGGGAATAAGAAGCATAAAGGGTTGATACAAAATAGACAGGGGGAGGTTAAGAATAGTATGGGAAATGGAGGAGCCAAAGAACTTACATGTATGACCCATGGACATGAACTAAGGGTGGAGGGGAGTACTGGAGGGAGGGAGTGCAGGGCAGTGGGGAAAAAAGGGGAGAAAAAATGGGACAAATGTAATAGCATAATCAATAAAATATATTTTAAAAAGTAAGAATTCTGAAGTTTTTATGCTGGCTTTTCCACTTACTGGCTTAAACTTCTTTGCATTATAATCTCCCTTTGTAAACTTACCTTCTGGAGTTGTTATAAGGTTTTAATTTATTATGGTAAATAAGATGATAATAAAGAAGAGGTAGTTGGAGCATTGCTTAGCACATAATAGGCATTCAGTAAATGCAGTAGTATTCAGTAGCAGTAAATACTACTACTACTACTACTACTCTTCAGTAGCAGTAAATACTACCTATTACTATTACTTCATGCAACACAACATGACCTGAAGCATTATTATCTGTGTTTGTTTTATCAGCAAGAAAGCTGAGGTTTAACAGGACACGTCATTTGCCCAAAGTACTTCAGCCAATAATGGAACTAGAGTCCAAGCCCATGTCTGTTTGATGGCAAATCTCAGTTTTTATTATTATGACCTAGAAAGGAAAAAAAAGAACATGCATAAGTAACTATTTTACAAGATAGAAATGCAAATGAGACTGTAAAGTGCATACTATTTTCATGACAGAGTAGATTCTCAGTAAATACTACCAAATGATGATGATGGTGATGACAAAATTGTAGGCATCGTACTGAAGTTTTAGAAAAAAGCATTTTAGGGTATCAGAGGAAAGGGAGATCATTTCTGAATAGAGGAATAGTTGGAGACTTCCATGGAGAAGGTGCAGTTTGAGTAGGCCTTAGCAGCTGAGTGTGAGTTGGACTCAGTGAGAAGACTGTGAACCCTGAGAGGAAATACATCTGTCAAAGTGAACTTTTCGTAACAAACTGGGCCCAAATTTGTAACCAGGATCTAGTGGCCATTGCTGACAGAGGCTTCTCACACACTCTGCATTCCAGGAAAAGCCACAGACTGAGCTTTCAACCTCCTGTTGTATGCTCCTGCCATCTGAGCCAACCATTATAAGGCAGTTTCTGATTTGTCATTTGACCAGCAGACTGATACCTGCCCTGTCCGATCAGAAGTACACAATTTTATCCTTACTGCATCTAGACTGACCAGTCAGAACTGCTCTATAACGACTAGTTAGAACACACAATACTGACCAATCAGAACTGCACAATTCAGACCAATCTGAACTGTACAAATTTGGAAACCTCATTTGCATAAAATTGAACCAATCAGGAACCTGGGTGGAACTTTTGCTATAAAAGGTGGCCTCCCTGTTGTCTTGGTGAAATGCATTTTTTGTTGCCTTTGGAGACTGTGTTTCCCCAGTTTGCAAACTGCTCACCTGGATAAAGTTTCTCCTTTTTCCATATCGCTTTGGGAATTTTTGTCAACAAAAGAAGGCTCTCCTTATAGAGAAAATTGCATAAGCCAAGGCATGAAGATGTGAATGTTTAGCGTGTGTTTAAAATAAAAAAAACAAACAAAAAAAACAACAAGATACTCCATTTAGGTAATATGTAGTATATTGAAGGAAATAGTTGGGAAGGAACTAGAAAGTGTTGGTTCATGAGCTCTTGACCAAAACACTGACCAAAGTAGAAAGATTTCCCATGCTCCAAAAGTCTCCTAAACACACTGGGGAAAGAGCCATTATAAGGGTTTGGGGATGAGGAAGGGGATTTCCTTAATATTCAAGCAAGAATAATTTCCACAACTGTGCAACAGGGCTCAAGTTTGAGGTGGAAGGCAACACAGGGCTGACATTCAGCCAATACATGAGCGCAAACCTGAGCTGTTAAAATACTGACGTGTTTTGAACCTCAGGGACATGATGCTGAGTGAAACAAGCCAGTCACAAAAGGACAACAGTTGCATGCTTCCACTCACATAAAGTATCCAGAGTAGTCAAAATCGTAGACGCAAAAAGTAGGAAGGCTGTTGCCAGGGGCTGAGGGGAGAAAGAAGGGAAACTTAGTGTTTAGTGGGTACAGACTTTCAGTTTTGCAAGATGGAAAAGTTCTAGAGACCTGTTGCCCAACAGTGTAAATATACTTAACACTACTGAAACAAGCTCTTAAAAATGATTAAGGGGGTCAATTTAATGTTGTGTGTTTTTTACAATAAAGTAAAGAAAAAGTGAATCCCTGTTCCCCTCCAATATATTAAAGTGCTTTCCATCCACCTGGTCAATGGCTGTGCCCTGAGCCACCCAAGTCCCCTTGTTGTCAGGGCCCTGGACCTCCTTGGCATCCTGCTATAAAAGCATTAATGCCTGGCACTATTTTGAACATCACCCCTGGGGCTAAGGGACTTGCTGGAAGATGAGTTTGCACAGCATTTTTCTGAAGATGGAAAAACACAACAATTGTATGTGTCAATGAATGGGGGAGGCGGGCAGAGCGGCTGCTGAAGAATGTTGAAACAGCAAACAGACCCAACCACTGCACTCTGGCCTCAGCTATTTCTCAGGCAAGATCCTTCAGAGGAGACAACGCATTGCCTGGAACTCTCTTCCTGCTGAGTCACTGGGGGGCAGCCCTGCCCAGCCAGCAGCCTGTTAACGTGGGAACCTGGAGGTACAGACCTGGAGACGGTCCCTTTCTGAGCCCAGGGAGACCGTAAGAGTCCCTGTCAGGACACCGGGCACTGCCACCAGGCCAGGCACACACCTGACTGCCTACCCAGTGGACACCTGGTTTTCCCGTTGCTCCTAGCATCAGATACCCTGATCCCTCCATTAGCTTGGCAATGCTGTGGAAAGTGCCAGGAAAAAACAATCCTAATGGGGTGGCTCTTGGCAGCTTTGGCTCAGTCATTTCTCTTCCTAATGAACCAGCGGAGCGCTGGATCTATGGGTACCGGATCGCTCCTGCCCAGCTCCCAATTCATCATCTGTGAGACGGCACAGCTCCCTCCGCGGTGACAGGAGGGAACAGGAGGCAATGCTTGGGGCCTGCTGTCCCTGCGGCTGCAGCCTTCTCCTCCTGCCCCAAGGACTGGTCCTGCTCAGCCCTGCATTTCAATCTGATTACTCCCACTCCTCACAGTCACCTCCCTCCTACCTGCAGCCCTTCATAAAAGACAGCCAAGAATGGGGAGGAAGGGATCCTGAGGCAGGGTCCACGATTAGGCTGGTGAGGTCCACGGGCAACTGCAGAGGTCCAGTGTGAGCAGCGCTCTAGGAGGAACAGAGGCCCACGCTCCGTGTGCCAGGTGCTGCTCCTCACTTGGGAAGACAGGACAACCCTTGAGCCAGGGAGCAGTAGGAAGGAGGTGTCGGACTCTACCATCTGCCCTCTTGCTTGGTGAGATAGTGATTCTCTAATAAAAGTCAGGGCCTGCCGTCCCTCCCACGTGGGGAAAACTTAGAAGACATCTGAGAGACCTTAACTCTTTCACCCTCGGTGTGGCTGCTGGCAGAGGCTTTTCCAAGGGGTCTCTCCTGGGAAGGAAAAGGGACCCCATGAATGGCCCTGAGAGCCTGAAGAGGGGAGAAGGGGTGAAGGAAATGTGGGGGATGGGTTGTGACGATTTAAATGGCCTTGGTTGGCATGTCAGCCCTCCACATGCAGTGAGCGGGTCCCACCAACCCATCCTCAGTATGTTCCTAGGGACGCATACGTGTTGTTCATCTTGGCCGTCCAAACCTCCCCTGCAACAGCAAGTGCTCTCTGTCCTCCCACCTGCCCTGGCCTGATGCTCACCCAGGGTCCAGGGAGTGCAAGAGTGATGTCATCCCTTCTGCATGGAAACCACCTTCCATTCTCTGCCTCAACTCCTCCTCTCTACAGCGGCTCCTCCTCTCTGCAGCGGCTCCCAAGCCTCAAGCTGACTCGGGTTGATTTGGGAACTTGTTTTAGCCCTTCCTGGGCATCGCCAACATTGGCCTGGCCACCCTTGTAGCCTGGTCAGCCCATGATGGCTCTTCAGTCAGCTTGCCATGGCTGAAAGGGGCCCTGTCCTACATGCAGAGGAACTCTTAGCTACACTCCACCGATTCCTACTTCCATGGATAACAACACCTAATTTCTATAAAACTTCTCAAGTGTCAGGCACTGTCCAAAGTGTTTACACACATTAGTCATTTAATCCTCACAATTCCACGAGGTCTACACTATTGTCAGCCCCGGCTGACAGACTGAGGGAACTGGAGCATAAACAGCGGGTGACATACCCGAAGCTGCATGTAAGGAACAGAGCCCAGATTCCACCCCATGCTATTAACCTCCAGAGCGCAGGCCTTTCCCAGAACGTCATGCCATGGGGCCACCCGAGGGACACAGGACTGATACCCGGTCCTGTCCTCAGCACAGGCGGTGATGGGTGGGGAAGCGCACTTGGAGGGGGCAGGTACCTGAAAGATGGAGAGGAAAGAATGCAGAGAGGGGACTGGAGCCAAAGGCCACAGAGGACCTGGGACTCGCTCTCCCAGTTCTCCAGGAGCTGGTTCTCATGAAGTGTGCTGTGTGGGTGGGAGTGAGGAGGGGGGGGAACTAAGGAAGTGGAAAGAGAGTAAGTGAGCAGAGGGCACCTGGAGTCAAGGAATGCACGCGGCTGGGACCGAGAGAAGTGGTGAGGTAGATGCGCACATCAAGGAAGCACAATAGGAGGGGAGGAGGGTGGGGAAGCAGAACCCGGGGAGGTGGGGACCCCAGGTCCGGATGGCTGACTCAGGGCCCACCCAGGCAGTCGCCAGCTTTGATTCTAAGGCCTGAAAGCAATCATTTCATCACTGCTAGCTGCCTCTTGGCCAAGTTTTTCCAAAGGCATGAGATGCCGGTGGCCTCTCCACAGGGTGCCCCAGGTTCTGGGAAGAGGGGGCCAGGGAGGCCAAAAGGGAGACCAGGCACTACCTACTGCTTCTGCTGGCAGGGTCAGTCGGAGCATGCCCGGTGGTGCTGGCCCTGAAGCAGTCCACAGGCGGCCAGGATAGGCACAGGCCAGGGGCGAGGAGAGGGAGGGCCACCGCAGGGCCCTCAGGAGGCATTGTCAACAGGCCAGTGTCCTTTGGAATCACTCCAGATAAAACAGCAGCAGTGAGACAAAGGATTTCCTTCCTCCTCTGGCATGTCATAAATTCCCTCAGGGCACTCCCAGGAGCCATGGGTCTGTCTTTATGAAAATCCTAGTCCAAGTTTTTAATCCACCCTGCAAACAGGAAATGGAGAAGGAACCAAGTTGGAAAAGCTGTGTCAGAGTCTGTCACTGTTGCTGTGGTCTTCCAAGCAGGATGGACAATGTTACTGAGCAGAGCAGGGTCAAGGCCGTAGCCCTGTGAGGTCCTCCCACTGTCTGAGGGCCCATCGAGCTGGGAGAGACCTCAGCACTCATCACACCAGCAGCACGTGGGGCCCAGGGAGAGGAAGGGATTGCCCACGATCACACGGTAAGTGACTGGCAGAGGGGGTGTCAGAACTGAGGTCTCCCAGGGATTAAACCATCCATCTCACTGCTGGACACGCCACACTCACTCCTGAGGACAGGACACGCTTCCAAAATGCCAGGCTTCAGTGGGAGGGATGGGCTCCCACGAGAGAAGGGGCCAACAGACCACAAGGGCCTTGTGCTGTGTGACCCGGAGAGGCCCTGGCAGAGCTGTGGCTGCAGTCGCTGTGCGCTGCACTGTGGGGGTTCAGAGTGCCGGCTCTGGGCTCAGACAAATACAGGCTTGAATTTTGTGTGACCCCGGATGGGTGACTCAGCATCTCTAAGCCTCGGGTTCCTTTTCTGTAAAATGAAGATAAAAAGAATATCTCATAGGATTTGGGAGAGGATTTTAAAAAATAAAATCCAGGTAAGGCCCTTAGAACATTTGAGGACTGGCACTGAATAAGAACTTGATCTGTGTTGGCCCTCATTTTTATCTACAGCAGTTGTCTGCTCTAATTCCTTTTGAGAGAGGGAGGACAGAGGCTCAGAGAGGTGCGTTACTTGCTCAGATTCATGTATCCATTCAGATGCCTTGACCTCGTGCCCAGAGCCGGGCACACTGCTCTCGACGTGGGGACACCTCAGTGAGCAGAGACAACAACAGCCCCTGCCCTGGTGGCACCTACACTGCATTTGGGGAAGACAGGTAATGAACAAAATACATGAGTTGTATGACAATAGCTAGAGCAGCGATTTTCAACCTTGTCCACCTCATGGCTCACATAAATTTATTAGTAAAATATTGCGGCACTCCAAAAAATAGATTTTTTGCCAATCTGACAAAAAAAGTAGGTATTCTTTTAATTCATTCACACCGGGTGGCTGTTGTCATGTTGGCTGTTGTCATTGTGTTTATGTGACAGTCTGAGGAAGCAGAGGTCAGTGCCTCTGACTAAGTGGCCAGGTCACGCATGTTTTAAAAATCCTTGCAGCATCCCAGTTGAAAATCGCCGGGCTGGAGCGTGATGGGAGCTCCGGAGAAACAAAGCAAGGAAGAAGATGGTGCAAGGGTGAGGAGGACTGCGAAGTGGAGGGGGCCCTGGAAGGCTTGAAGAAGGAAGGGGTGCAGGCATGTGGGAGGAGAACATTCCAGAGGAAGGGAAGCACCGGTGCGAGGCCCTGGGCTGGGCTCCAGGTACGAGAGACGACCGGGATGCTGTAAATCATGGCAGTGCTGGAACGGGCATTTGAACACAGAACTGATTCCCAAACCCACACACACACACACACACACACACACACACACACACACACCCCCTTGCTGGGCCCCAGACACAGGTTCTCTAGATGATTGGCTGGTGTGATGGGCAGGGAGGGGCAGGGGTGTTAATTCCTTTCTTCCCACAGAGGGTTTTGTGAGGTTCAAAGCCAACTACCAGGAAAGGGGTGAAGAATGCCTTTTCTGAATAAATATCTCTGTCTTCAGAACCAAAACTCAGAATATGAATTTTAGTAAGCACCTGAACTTAAAAAGAGGGTAGGACAGGATACCTGAAATCAAGGCATCGCAGACATGCGGGACGCGGTCACCTGAAACAAGCGCATAGGCTTCCATCCTGAAGATTCACAGGCCCTTCACCTTCATCCGCCTGTGCAACTCCTTCACTGACCTGGGGGGAGGGGAAACTGGGACCCTAAAATCCTCTGTTTGCTGCAGCAGCAGCAAGGTCCCCAAGGGCACAGTGCAGGGTCCGGGGGCCCAGAAGCCTGGAGATCTGGTCCTGACTTCTGGTCATTCTCGGGAACCACTGAGGACCTTCATCTGCTTCCCAGCCCCATCTCCCCACCTCTGAGGGCACTGCCAGGAAGGATCAAAGAGAACCTCTTGAGAGGGCCTGCTCCCGTTCCAGATAATCGCCAGGTAAATACAGAGCGTCTCCATGATGTAATGGGCCTGTGCTGGCAGAGCAGAGGAAATTGCTCACTTTGGGGAGGGGCAGGAGCTCTTCCAGGCCATTAGGGTTCACTGAGGGAGTTGCCTCTGCCGAGGTGAAATGGTTCCCTCGTGACTTGAAAAGTGAACTATCCTCTACTATTTCATAAAGCACTCCAGTTACCTGGGCTATGACATTGCTCTTCTCCATCCATGAAACCTCTGCAGCAGAGTCCCCAGACTTCTGGCGAAGAGACTGGGAAAACGGCAGGTATTCCAGAGAGAATGGCAATTCATGTTGAAGGTGGGGTGGGCGGAGAAGAGACGGTTCCATAGCCACCTGGGGGCCTCCGGGTTATACCAGAGGGCACCTGGGGCCCAGGTTCCAGTCCTGGTCATTTCCTGACACCACCCACCAGCTGAGTGACCTTGAGCAACTCAGTTCATGACTTGGGCTCTCAGATTTCTCGTATATACAATGGAAAGGTTCTTGTAAAGTTTATATACAGCTCTAAAATTCTGTGATTTTAAGCAGAAGAGATTTGCTCTGGGGCATTTGGAAGGATTGGGATGGCTCACAATTGAGCTGAATGATCCACCCTTGTTTTAGGCCCAGAAGCCCCTTCCACTGGACACTGTTGCTGCAGGCCAGACTCAGGCCTGGATGGGGATTTTCACACAGGGAGCACCCCCCCCCCAAAAAAATTAAGGGGGGATGGCAGGGGCTGGTTATTTTCACTTGGAGCTTGGAGGCCCAGAAGAAAAACACACAAACAGGGTGAGGGACACACAAACACTCAGCCCCTGAATTTTAATATCAGAAGATCACTCTCATAAGCTGCATCAACAACTCGGTATCCCAGTTGGTGCCAACTAAGCCCTCCTAAGCCCTCTCGCTTAATTACATGCCTAGAGCACTGTAATTTAAAATCCTGGCAACCATGTTCTATGCAATTAAAAACAAACTAACAAACAGGCCTTCCTTGAGCCCCTAATATTTTATTAGAGTTGGGCCCTGCTGTTCTCCCACTCCCCTGGTAACACGTAATGCTCTTCGCCACACAGCCTCAGTCCCCTGTTCCCTAACGCCTGCTGATCCCTCTTCAACCCCAGTCAGGAGGCCCAAGGTCAGGTTCCAGTCAAACCAACAGTTTTACTCATCCCCGGCCTGATTTCCAGGTCACTGTGCTTCCATTTTGCCCAGCTGGGGACGCTGAGTGGATTTTGCTTCATTAGGGTCTTTGAAAATTAAGACTTTAGCATTGAGCCTCAATTAGCCTTCACTCGTTAATCAGCTCTGTATTTTCTGCCTTTCTAGGTTTATGAGCAGAAATTGGGGCCCAAGAGACACTGTCAGCCAGAATCCCCAGTTACTCATTTCTATACCTCATCTCAGACAAACATTAGCCCCAACACATGTTCTTCTGAGAGCTACGCTGGATGGCAGCTACGTGATGGGGCTTAAAGTTGACCCACGCCACCCCCTCCTCCCAGCAAATGCTACCCCTAGACCAGGGAGCAAAGGGGGCACCATCAGATATGCTTAGGGATGGAATCTCCACATCAAATCACTTAGCAAGACCTGGGTGTTCAAATTCAAACAAGGGTGACCATTTATCTCCTCTTCGCCCCAGTCCCGGCCAACATCACGTCCTGGGTGTCGGGCAGACGCCTGCCTCCTTTGACGGCGATGACTTTCTCTACGACTCCCGTCAAACCTTTCTCCTCTCCACAGCCGGAATGATCTTTTCAAAATTCAAAGTCAATCACGTCACCCATGATGAAAATCAATAATTTCTTTCAGTTTAGAAGATCCAAACTCCTTCCTGTGGCCTCAAGGACCCCCAGGGCAATTCTGTTCTCTCTGGCCATCCATCATCTCACCTTTCAGGACTCAGCCTAAATATGTGGTTCTCGACTGGGAGCAATTTTGGCCCCCAAGGGACATTTGACAATATCTGGAGATGTAGTTGGTTGTCATGGGGGGGAGGTGGAGGGTGCTACTTGCATCTAGGGGGCAGAGGCCAGGGATGCTGCTGGACATTGGACAGTGTGCAGAACAGTCCCCACAACAAAAGAATTGCCTGACCCAAAATGTCAATAGCGCCAAAGTTGACGAATCTTGGCTTAATTCGTTTCCTCAGAAACGTCTTCCCTGAGCATCTTTATCAAAAGTTGGTTCCCAGGTCCCTCATCCTTCACCTTGCTAACCAGTCTGTAAATGTGTTTTTGTTCTTTTTCACACACTTGCATGTTCCACCAGGTCGGAGACCAAGTATGTCTTCTTCAGCTTTGTTGCTTTAGCACCTGTCACTTAGTAGGTGATCAATACATATTCGTGGACCATGTGATCTCACTCATATGTGGAATCTAGTGAACAAACTGAACTAACAAGGAAAATGGGGCAGACTCATGGAGGGAGAGCAGTCTGACAGCCAGTGGGAGGGGCAGGTTAGGGGGTGGAGGGATTGAGCAAAAAAGAAAAAGGACTCATGGACATGGACAACAGTGTGGTGATTGCTGGGGGGAGGGAGGTATAAGGGGACTAAAAGGTAATGTAAAAAATATAATAAAAATGTTGTAATGAAAAATAAATAAATATTCATGGAAACAAGAAGAGCAGGAGGTAAGGGAAGTAGGGAAGGAGGAAGGGCCATCAAGGGCAAACGGCATCCCTGCCCACTCTTTTGAGCCTCTGGTGGTATCATTCCCACCTTCATCTTCATGTGGAAAATTTGCCCTTCAACTTGGCCAGTTGCACTGGTAGTGTTACTAGAGAATAAGCTCAGTGGACTCTGAAACAGTTTTGAAAGTCGATGGCAAGGGGGTGGCCTGAAGATGTCTAGGCTTCTTCAGCACAGACTGCTTTCCTCAAACAAGTCCCCCGAGGGTAGGCAGCAGGCCAACTTCAGTCCCCGGTGCAGACCCAGCACCCTGCACAGCGCCTAGCACACAGACAGCAGGCTCCAAAAACGTGTACAAGTCAGTGAATGAATGAATAAATATCAGAGGGGGACACAGGCAAGCTCCCAGCCTCATTACACCCACTTCTCTAGCACCTCCTAAACCCATTCAGAGAACCAGCTGCTTCACCCCCACCTTTTTAGGATCTAGCTCCTTTTATTGCTGGCCCTTCAAACAAGCATTGCCAATAAAAACTTCACTTCTGGAAAAGACTTCTCTCGTCAGTTTTGCAGAATGCCCTTGAAGAAAAAAATAAGCTTGGGCTTCCAGTGTTCCCAACGCCCACGTCTAGATCCTCACACAAAGCCCAGACATTGACACTGTTCTGTCATCCAGTAAGTAGCCACCTCTCTGGAAGGTAACCCCCTCCCCACCCCCATCCAACAACTCCGCCCCAGCTTCCTCCTCCCCCACTCGCGGCTTCCAGGGACCTGTGGGAGTAAGCTGCTGGCTGCGAGGTTTCTACAGTGCACTCCTTACCGGAATAAATCTGCCTAAATTTCACTCCTAAACCCCAGAGATTAATGTTATCTTATTAGCAACACAAAATGGAAAAGACTGGGCTCTTTCAGTGTAATCTGCTTAGTTGCCGCGGCTGCAGGGAGCTTCTCCAAGGAATGTGCTCGGCTTTTGTTAGAGGAAGAGGGGGAAGAAGTCCAACATTTTATTCGGCATAAATCTGCCTATCTAATTTAGATTGTGAAAACCCAATTGATTAAGCCCTGGGCCTATCATCTCTCTCCTATGGAGCCTGCAAATAGCATTGCTGTTAGGAAATCTCACACCATAAAACTCACTACTGCAAATTCTACTTTTATTATCTCTCTAGATACCACACCTCCTCAGGCGCTCTTTATTCTCACCAGCGCCATCTGGTGGTAATTCCAATCCTCTCCAAAGGAGTCTTCAATATTTTCTTCTCCCTTTTCTCCTTCACTTCTTTCAACTCCCTTCCTGCCCTTCTTTCTTCCACGAATATTTATTAATGATCTACCAAGTGGCAAGTGCTGAGGCAACAAAGCTGAACATGACAACAAGACGTACTTGGTCTCTAACCTGGTGGAACAGACAAGTGTATAAACAAAAACAAAAACACATTTGCAGACCTTGGAAGTGTGCATATTGTATCTATTGTATGTACCTATCATATTCAAAAATAAAACTCAGTAATTTAGAAAATTTATTGGTTCATCTAATGATAATAATAATAAGTCCATTAAATGTTTAACAAACATTTTAATGAAAAATAACTATATGTTCCAAAACAAAAAATATATGAAAAAAGTGTCATTATTTTACATTTTTGCACATCTCTCTAATGTCTGTTTTAATAAAAGACAGAGAAATTCTCATATCTGTTTCTGCACTCAATCCGTTTCAACATCTTGTTCTTAGTTGAAACATGTGAAGAAAATGTGGCCTCACACACTTATGTAATTGGGAGATGGAGGAGTATTTAATAGCCTTTTTGGATAATTGTGGGCTTTTCTCTTTCATACTATACCAAAACTCAACAAGCTACAGTTTCTTAAAGGTTAGTTGGAATGTGGAATCTGAAATCATAGTCATGAACTTTTTGTACTATGTGACATTAAAATTCATTGGCCTATGTGGGACTTTAAATGGATGGATTTTTGAACGTATGATTTTGTAACTTCATTTGCTGTCATATGGAAAATACTGGCTCACTGAATTATGCAAAATTTCCAAATGTTGTCACATTTCATTATACGACATCAAAAAATCGTTCATTAGTAACATTACCAATCTTATCGGAAAAACCAACCCAAAAAGTACTGAAAAGCTGTCAAGCTCCTGACAGACTCACATATTCCGAAATCCTAATTTTCACTTGGAAGCTCAAATTTCATCCTTGGGAACAAATACTGTCAGTTGATTTTCTTGAAGTAACAGTCTTACTTTATTTATTTTCAAGAAAACATCTGCCACACACACAAGCCTGAATAAGCACAGCTTGTTTGACAATCGTCGTCTCGAGTAAAAATGATGAGCTATGAAAAGCAGCAGCTAATTCAGCCAGGAACTCAGTCATATCTGTGCTTTTCCTCATGACAACCCTCATACTAACCTAAGCAGCAGAAGTGCCTTATGCGAACTTCACATCTCATCACACAGAATGTTGCAAAGTGAGCTCATGAGTCCGTGTGTTACTGCGAGTGCATGGTGGTGTTGAGTAACAAGGGCACTGTCCAGGTTGCTGTCACTGCTGTGACATGTGCTAAGGTGCCAGGAGTTTTACCCGCCGTTGCTTTCTCGTGCCCCTGGGGCAGATATCAACACAGTTAACAAGCAAACAACTAATTAATACTATTGGAAAAATAGAGTTTCAACCTCACAGAAGCCTAAGGGGTTTATGGACCACACTTTATCGCCCTACGGGGACAAACCTCCAAATGTGGCTGCAAAAGGAAGGTGGGAGGGACTGTTATATTGTCATTAATATCACTTGCTCAGAGGTGGGGGGTCAAAGAAAAAGATCCCCATACCCAGGGCCCATCTCCTAAACCTTCACCCGACAGGTTTGTTTCCATTGCTCATACCCTCTCCTGATTCCCCGTGGAAAGTCTCCTGACAGACACATTGCCTCTCTCAGCCCAGCACCCACGAAACAGCAGGGGTGGAACCCAGGCCGAAGCACCCGCTCCACCTCCCACCCAGGCTAAAATCCATCTTCTCTATTTCTCTCCCAGTTATCACCTGACCCTACCACTTCAGATAAAGAATAAGGCTTCAAGAACAAAGCATCCTGTGAGGCGAGGAATGCAAGATAAGCAATCTGGCAGAGGATAAAAATCCCCTTTATGTAGGCTGCTTGTAATGCTTGGAATCCCTACAACCATTAACACCCTGTGACTGTTTCTGTCTTCCTCATCTTTCAGGTCTCAACTTTGATGTCTTGTCTTTTCTTTTTTCTCTTTTCTTTTCTTTTTCTTTTCTTCTCTTCTCTTTTCTTTCTTTCTTTCTTTCTTTCTTTCTCTTTCTTTCTTTCTTTCTTTCTTTCTTTCTTTCTTTCTTTCTTCTCTCTCTCCCTCTCCCTCTCTCTCTCTCTCTCTCTCTCCCTCTCCCTCCCCCACTTTCCACCCATTTGTAGATACAGATGGTGCTGTAATGTGGGCAAGTCACCTGCAGGCTGTACATGTAGCTGCATAGATGCATACATATCGTCTCTGGTGCTGCAGTTGTCTGTTGCCTTACCTGATTCTCCCCACTAGATGGTAAACTTCAAAAAGGCAGTAGTCATTTTCTGTCTTGATCATTCTCAGGTGTTTTTAAATGGGCACGGGGGGGGGAAGTTATGCTTTACCACATTTTTATGCATTTTTTAAGCACCTACCTCTAGATGGGGCATGCCTCTCCATTCACCACTGTCTCCCACCACACCTCACTGTTGTAAGAAGGCATCACTCATGAGCCTGCCTGGCCATGAAGGAACTGGAATTTGCCTGAGATATTTACACACCCAGGACCCGAGCAGGCCCTCCAGAAGTATTTATCGGAGGGATGATTCTTTTCTTTTCAGGTTGGGTAAAGCATGACACGACAGGAGTCTGTGCTTCTCTGACCAGCCACCCTTCCCCAGGCTGTATTTATGGGAGTCCCTTTGTGCACGGTCAGCTGCTCCTGTGCCTTCCCGGGAGGTTCATCTCAGCAGAGCACCTGTGGCCTCCCCGAGGGCAGAACCCGAGTCTCTCTGCCTCTCTTCCCCTCTTTCTCCTGCTTACTTCTCCTTCGCCTCCTCCTACCCCAGTTCAACCAACCACTTAATGTGCCAACCCCTTAATCAGGTTACAGTCAGTTTAGACACCTGGGTAGGTAGCAGAGTGTCTGTTCATAAAAAAGAAATGCTCTCTCTAGCAGGAGGCCTCTGTTCTCGAAAGATCGAGTCTTCCAGGAAACCGGGAAGTAAGTGTGCAGTCTTATGGGAGGGAAGGGCAGGGAAATTGTGGCAGGAGCTGGGGAAGGGACCTGAGCACAATGGGCCCTCAAGGACAGGCTAAAGGAAGCAGATCTTTTCCTTTAGACACTGGGTGTAACAGGAACAGACCAGTGTTCCATGAAGGGCTAATCTTCGACCCCAACCCTCCTCTTTCCCCCTTATCACAAAGAAGTCTCCAGAGCCTGCCACTGAGCCTGCAGGAGCAGCCCTCCTGCTTGGGCGGCTGCAGTGTGACCAGTGTCTGAGACGGGCAGGGCAGAGCAGCAGAGGCCCACCCTTCGCCACCACCCCACTCCCGTGAGCCAAAACACATTCTCCAACCTGAGCTGGTCCGACTAGGTTGGGTGGGAACTGGAGGGCTCAGAGGATTAGCACAGCAGTCCCGGCCTGAATGGAGCACATTCCACAGTGGAGTAAACAGGGTGTGGCTGCAGAGTCCCAGCGCAGCTCAGAGGAGCGTGTGTGTGTGTGTGTGTGTGTGTGTGTGTGTGTGTTGCCCTCTAGGAGACCTCCTTGGTACTTCCTCTCTTAGAACTTCTCTGCTCCTGAGCCCTCACTAGTTTCTGCTTGCATTCTGCAGGTGACTCACCATTCCAACAGCATCTATCAGTGGGGAGGAAGAGATGAGGAGGGGGGAAGGGGAAGATTTCACTAGGACTGGAAGCGGGACCTGGACCGGGCCCCAATGCTACCTTCTATGAGCAGGGCTTCAGCAGTCTCTTGCTATATTGCTGGGGGGGGGGGGGCGCGGGGGGGCGCAGGCAGCCTTGAAGTCAGTGGCCTGGGCTCCTGGAACGTCTGCAGAGAAACCTGGTGTCATTGGGAAGTAACCCCAAAGTACTGCATTCACCTTTGTTTTGCCAAAGGTCAAAGTAACATGTTTATTCTTTATAAAGGCTTAAAAATTCCAAAAGCAAAAAATTTTTAGATCATCCATAATACTATTCTGTAATAATAATTACTGACTCTCTTTTTCTTTATGCCTGTCAAGTGTATTTACATATTTTTATTGATTTTGAGAGAGAAAGGGAGACAGAGAGGAAGAGAGAGAGAGAGCTATCAATTTGTTATTCTACTTATTTATGCATTCATTGCTCGACCCTTGTATGTGGCCTGACTGGGAATTGAACCCACAGCCTTGGTGCATCGGGATGATGTTCCAACCAACCGAAGTTATTCGGCCAGGGCAAATGTATATTTTTCAAAAGTTGGAAAGAAAAGGAAATATATTTTCTGTACATAATTAGAATAGCATTATTTTTGAAGTTTTTGTTATCCTGCCTTTTAACTTATGAACGTTTCCCTATTTCCATAATTATTCTTGAAAAGTCAGAAATAGGAACCTAGCACGAGGTATCACAGGTAGTCACTTCCAAAAGAGAGACAGAGCGTGCTGCTTGCTCTGAGGGCCTGTGCGCTCTCGGTCCCGTAGGACGCAGCCCAGGTGGTGTGGCCTCCAGGAAGCCTGTGAATCTCCAGCTCAGGCTACACCAGTCCACGGTGCTCGCCCGGCACCGCCATGGCACTGACCACATTACGTTAAACAGATGTCCTTATGTTTCCATCTCGCCCATCACACCACAGGGTCTCTGAGAACTGGGCTCCATCCGAACCAGCTGTGCCTCTCCAGGGTCCAGCTGGCGCCTGGCCCTGGAAGATAACACATGCCCTGCGAGGAAGCAGAGTGTAAGCAGCCTCCTGTTGCTAGGCATGTGGGCCAGCCATTCTCAACCTTTTTCATCTCACGGCCCACAGAAACTAACTACTAAAATGCTGCAGCACACCCAAAAATACACTTTTTGCTGATCTGACAGAAAAATAGGCATAATTTTGATTCATCCATGCTGGATGGCTATAGTTGTGTTGGCTGTTGTCATTTGATTTTAATTTGACAATCTCAGGGAAAAGACGTCAGTGCCCCTGACTAGATTGCCAGGTGCTGCATGTTTTAGAAATTCTCGCAGCACACCGTTGTGCCTCTTACCGCTGTACGGTGGCACACTGGTTGAAAATCACCGGTTTAGATGGTTTCTGACATGTAAAGAGCCTTCATGTGCTCAGTTGATTGGATTCTCTGTTGGGTGAGGAAGAGGGTGGAGGAAGCCCCCCAAAATCTTGTTTGGGTCATCTGTACACACTTGAACCCTCCTGTAAATAACGTTGGGATGATTGGTAAATGAGTCTGTCTGTATCCAACTCATTTAGATGATGCAAGTGCACATGCTGGAGTCAGACTAGTCCCAGCCCTGCGATGTGACAGCGTGGCCTTGGGCATGTCACCTGACTCTCATCCTCCTTTCCCTCAATAATGAAACGAGGATAATCACGACATCTACTCTTAGGGATGTTAAGATGTTGTAAATGGGATCATGTAGGTCGGGTCCTAGCACACTGTATCTGCTTTTTACTACTGAATGGAATTTCTGGGCCCATGTTATCAAGTTAATGCCACGTGACCATGCTGCTTCCCAGAAACGTGGAACAACTTACATACGGTACATGCGCACAGCACGGGGCACCTTCCGTCTTTCTCAGCAAGGAGTTTGGTCAATTTATCACCATCATCCAATCTACTTCACAAAGTGTATGTGGGCCCTGGACAAACCTACCTTGAAATTCAGCAGAATGTCATCTCTCTGCTCACAATCTAAGCATCCGGCAGAGAACCCCACCTCACTGTCACACTGCCCTGGGGTTGCAGAGGACAAGCATGGCGGGAAACGAAAGGTCACGGCATTAGGGCATGATGGTGTCAACATAGAACAAAAGCCGTTTTCCCACATGCACCTAAATGGTGAAATAGGGGACTAAAAAGGCAGAGAATGGCTCCAAGCCAGATTCTTCCCATTTGCTTATACCCTCATCCCCACCCAACACACAATCATTCAAAGTAAGGGCACAGCACTGTGTTATGATCAGCTTGCTGCAAAAGTGGCCCAGAGAGGTGAAGTGTCTTGCCCCAGGTCACACAGCTAACGAGTGCCATTAGGAGTGTCAAGACCGCAAGGAATCCGTGACTCACAGCCAACCAGCCTGGTCTACAAGTATGAACCTCCATTTGTGTTTGTGCTCTTACCCCCACCCGCAACGTCACCAGCGATGTCCTGGTGGATAATGACAGGGAGCGGAAGACAACACACGTTCGTTCACCAGGGGCTCTGGAGCCAAAACCCGTGACGTGTGCCCAAGTCAGCTGGGCGAAGACCAGGATCCTCCGCACAGGTGTCGTTCAGCACCACGCTTCAGAAGGCCGCGTGGTCCCGGTGAGGGTGCAAGGACCTTCGCGGGGGCTCCTCACCCACCTCTATCCTGCACCATATCCCTCTCTCTCTCCGGTTATTTTTTCCTACATAAAGAAATTCCCCCAGAAACAGCCAGGTCCTTGGACATCTAATTTAATTAAAAAGAAAAGAGGGGAAAGAACACGTTTATAAAGCACGGCGGCGGACCAGAAGTCATTGTTGTAACGGTTTTATTCAAGTTTGTGTGTGCTCTGGTGGCGAGACCAGGCTGAGATCAGCGTCCCACTGTAACACGATAAGAGGTTTAGCATTGAACCAAGCCTGCTTGGCACCCCCAGCCAACCGTTTACAGTACCTTGGAAAAAAAAAAAAAGCCAAAGAACCTGAAAAATTTCCTTCAGGACTTTTCTATTTTTAAATATTGTTGACAAATTACAATAACTTATATCCCAAAGCAAAGTGGGAACTCAAGGACACGTGGACAGGACACGGGAGCAGGGAAGACCTGGGGATGAAAAGTGGGAGCTAATTACAGAGGAGCAGAATGAACACATGCGCAAACCTTCTTCTTGCCGAGACTCAAAGGCTTGAACAGGGAGGAAAATCCCAAAGAAAACTTTTTCTGTGAACTAGATAAAACCCACCTCCAACCCCTTTTCTTTATCCTCTAGAAGACACCGATACAGTCTTAGACCAAATTTTTGCGTGAGCATGTGAGGATGGGTGATGAGGAGAAAGTTGGCAAGTTCATCAGCTCCCTTCTTTGCGACAACCGGGCACAGAGGGCGCATGGCTCCTCGACACAACAAAAAGGCAAAAGCCTGACTTCAACTTCCCAAGGAGCTGCAATAAGGCTTCCAAGCTCGAGAGACTGGGAGGGACGTGGGTGGCAGCTGAGGCAGAGAGCAGTAACGGGGCCGCTGGGGCTGGACACGGAGGACCAGGGCCCGTGGGCCTTCAGGGGAGCTGGGAGAGGAGCTGCGGAACCTACGTTCGATCCCTGTGTGGAACAAATCCCTGAACAGCTGTGGAAACGGTAGCAGAGAGAGCAGCCAGGAGCAGAGAGGACGTCGGCTGAACGCTGGAGTCGCAGGTCGTGCCGGCTGAATCCAGTGATGGAGGCAGGTGGGTTAGCCATGGGACACAATGCTTCTTGGACGAAGAGCCGTCCCCAAGCTTAGGTGGGCCCAGGCCAGGCTGAATTTATCCCGGGGCTTCTAAACAGTGGCCTACAATGTGCTCAGAGGAAAATGAGAGACAAGTTCGGGGCCAAGCAGAGCAGTAGTGTTGCCTCCTAGCTGTGTGACCTTGGGCATGTCTGATCATTATCCGAGCCTCGGGTCCCACATCCTCAGACGGGGGTCACACGTCCCCTCCCAGGATTATTGTTGAGTCGAAATAACAGTAATTAAGAACAATAATAAACCTCTAGGGCAGCACCTTCCACACAGAGGAAATGTAATGGTTTCTTACGATTTCTGGTTAGTCCACACACCCAGGCCCGGGTAAACCCATGCCTTGCGCTGACAGTGACGAAGAGCCACAGCCAGCATGGCCTCCGGGGCTGGAGGCAGAGATAAAGGACGAGTGGAACAAAGATGAGACGAGAGTGACGGCTGACAGCACGGAGACGCACAGGGCCAGGCACGGTGCTGGGGAACAGCCCCCACCCTCTCCAGCCCTATCTGCAACCTGGCGGGGAGAAGGAGCACAACGTTCCTGGAGTTCAAAGATGTCCCAAAGAAGCTTAAGATGAGAATCAGAAAGGTCCTCTCTAATATAATCACTTACTTCTCACCCTAAACCACACACACACACACACACACACACACACACACACACACACACACTCTCGCGCACGCCCCTCTAAGTGGCTTCGAGGAGGCTGAAAGGAAGCTAGAGAACTTCAAGGAAAAGTCACCCCAGTTACAGGTCCAAAGATGAAAACTGTCCTAAGGTGCTTCACTGTTGTAAGTTGACACATTCCCATTTAAATGCAGACACTCCCAGAAAACGACCCCCTCACTCGGGACTTGTGGGCAAGGGCAATCAGACAAAAACACTTACGATCTACTTCCCGATTCTGTCCGCGCACCACCCCACATCCAGGTGAGAGGCAGACAGGACCCACGCTAGGGTGAGGTGGGGGTGGAGGGCTCACCTCAGATGAAAAATTGAAGGGGGCACCCAAAAGACTCAGTCATCAAGAAGAATCGTATTTCAATGCAGTATTTTAAAAAATTAAAATTAATGAAAACATCCACATTGAACATCATATTAGAATTTGAAATAAAGTCAGGATCTGTCAATGCAGGTATCTGGGTGTGAAGTTCAGGAACGTGGGCAACACATTACTTCTGCAGTGCCAGTGCGGTCTTGCCCTTCGGTAAGTGCGGACAAGCAACACTGTAGCACCAACACTCCCCCCGGCTCCTGGGGAAACCCATCTGGCCTCTGGAATTGTTTCCAGTGTCCCGTCCTGAAACGCCTATCTAGTTGTCAGGTCCCCACCTGCCAATCGATCTAGTTAAAACTAGGTTGTGGCTGTTTGCAGGGAGGGTGGGTCAGACCAGTCAGGAGGGAAGACGGGTCAGCAGAAAGGCGGGTCTGTTTCCGAGAGAAACATCGAGAGGTGTGGAAAAACTCCTGGCTCTGGTAACCCACTGGGCCCTTCTCCATTTCTTTATCTCTGGCTGCAGCTGTGAGCCGAAGGCCCAAGGCAAGGCTGCGGCAGGGGTGCGCGGAACCGCAGACAGTAAGAATCAGGAAGGACCAGTCCTACTGCCTCCACATTAAGGAAGGGAGCCCAACCTCTCTTTGCAAGAGCAAATGCCAGGGCTCCCTAGAAGCCTAGCGAGGCCAGGGTGCTTCCAACACTGGACATGGATCATGGACGAAGGAGAGGGTGGGGACTGTCAGTATCCCATCAAGATGAGTGTAAAATACTCAGTCCAGTCTGAGAGGCCTAGGAGACGCTCACCTGGCCTGCACAGCCAACCAGAAGCCCAGGGCTGGGTCAGGTTAATTAGGCACCTAAGGTTAATTAGCCTTAATCAGCCAGGACTCCAGTTTCCACCTCCTGCCTTCCAACGCAGGCGCCTGAAGTGGGGAGTGCGCAGGCGGCCAGGCCAGGAAAAAGCAGGGACTGAGGACCACCCCCCCCAGAAGCAGCAGAGGGTTTTCCTTTCTGAGGCGGATCTTTATTCATCCGAATTCCTGATCTAAGGAAACGATGATTTGTCTGAAGGGAGAGGGGTGCATTTGGGAATGTGTTCCTACAAAACTGGCATAACAGGAAACTGTTCGCAGGCCTGAAGCCGAGGAGAGGCCCATGGTCTAGTAGGCTGAACCCCGTGAAATTGCTTTTCTCCCAGTGGTTTTTACCTACAACCCCTTGCCCTACCCCACACATACACACGATTTTTGTCCACAAAGAGAAGTGATCTAGCAAGATGAGGCTGGCCCAGGGGCTCCAGGACCATATGTTTTAAAGCCAGAAGGACCTCATGCTTCCAGTAGGGAAGGCAGCATCGTCCTCAGTTCACAGGTGGGCTGAGGTCCCCAGACAGGAAGAGACATTTGCGACGTTGCACAACTAGTAGGTGGGCAGCTCAGATCAGCACATTCCTGAGTCAAAGGCTTAATGAAAGGAAAAGGTCAGGTTCTGCATTCAGAGGGGCCTGCCACACGGACGCTTCACCCCTGACGCGCACCATTATTCACAGCCACCCAGCTTCAGTACCCACTGTTCTGGGCTTTGTTAAAAGCGAGCTTGAAGAGTTAGGAATGCTCAGGAGGTGTTCCCCTCCTTGTGGGGGGTGAGGGGCTGAGGTCCCAGCAAGGGGATTGCAGAGCAAGAAAGAGTGTTGACAAGGTCAGGCCCAACTGCCCTTGGGGGTGTCTCACCATGTCCCTGAGCATGCGTGGTCTGAGGGAAAAGGGTTTTGTGAGGACATCCATACCATGACCCATATCCCAAGGGCCAGCAGACCCCTTCCCAAAGATTCTTCCAGGAACTGGGTGGATTCCAGTCTCTAAAGAAACAAGACTCTAGGAATGCCTCCAAGAAGTCAGAGACCCCAAACTATCATTCTGATGCCGCTCCAACTACTGGCTGCTCTGTAAGACGGGCATGACTGCCTGATAAGTGGGGGGATTTGGAAGGCTGCTCGTAAACATCAGGTGCTACATACATGCAGAAGAGCACATGCCTGACCACAGTTCCCGTGGGTCATGCAAAGCCAACTGCCAATCACTCCTTTTCCGGAAGACAAAGGAAGACACATCAGGTGAGTCCTCTAGAAACAAAGGGGGTGAGAACCACACTGTCAACCTGGGGAGTTTGTCCTAGTCTCCCGCCAGAGCCGGAGCCACATGCCTCGGTAACCTGCTGACACTGACTCTCAGTGCCCTTGAGGGGGGAGCGGCTTTTTCAGGAAGGAAATCTGAGACAGGCGAAAAGACAAGCCCGAGGTCAGCCGGCAAAAGCAGAACAGGGGGCAGAGCCAGTTTGCTCAGGCCTCCGGGCCTGGTGCCCGACTTAGCCATCAGTCGGAGTGGCTTTTTAATTTCTCTTCACTTGGATCTTTGTTTTTAAGCATTTCCCCTTCTCTGTCAGCAAGGACACCAAATGTAGAAGGAAAACAATGTGATTTTGTAGAGGTCAGGAGGAAAGGATAGCGTTATTCCGAGTCATGCAAATGTAAGATATCATCACCGCCATATCGCCATCAGCATCACCACTACCAGACCCTGGGGATACTGAAGGATGGTGTGTTAAGAGCACCCATCAAAGCCTCTTAGAAATAACCCATGAGCTATCTGGGACATCTGCTCAGCCCTGGAAGTGATCTGGATGCCCGAGGCTGTAAACAAAGGACAGTCCTGTTCAGCATCAGAGAAGGGGCCCACAGATCCAAGGAGAAAGGGCTGGGGGCAAGATCTGTTTCCCATCCCCATCTTCCATCTAGAGAGCACCTGCCAAGAGTGAGGAAAAGTCTCAGAGGAAAGTGAGGAAGAGGGAAAAGGGGGGCCGCTATTGCCACTGCAGAGGCTTGAGCCCCAGGTTCAAGGCCCGATCCTGACCATGACCAAGGGGACCTGAGTGGACAGAAAGCAACTCAAACCTGTTACTATACAGGATCCTTCTCCCAGCCACGCCCTACAGGGAGAGTGTGGGAGGCAGGGGCTCATCAGAAAGAGATGGTAACTCCTCCATCTGCGTGGGAACTCACAGAAGCATTTTCAGAATAACTCTGCTTCTGCTCTGGCAGATCCAATTCTTCCCTTAGCAGAGACCCAGCCTTCCCGTCTCCCCCTGGATGGATGAGTAAGAACTGGGTTCAAGCTGTCACTCAATGGCAAGTAGCTGCCATTCGGTTTATGCTACATCAGTTACACTACCACTTCCAAGAAAGATGGCTACAACCTAACAAAATGACAAGAAGTAGAAAAGAAGCAAGGGAAAAACCCCTGCCTCATACCCCAGAGCACTGCCCGGAGCCAGCAGGGTTTGGATTAGGCTGTGAGCTGCACCCCACCGGGGGGCCGTTAAGTGGTTTACAGATGTGTTAGTGGCTCAGACTGGGGAGACAGACAGAGAGTCCAGGGGAGGCCACAGAACAGACCACCCGTGCCCCTCTCCCCACCGAGAATGAAGAAGGATCACTTGGCTGGCTGAACTGCTGACAGGATTCACATTGTATCCCTCCAACCTGAGGAGCGGGGAATCGGGGCCCACACGATGTCTTTCTTACCCGTGGGCCTCCCTGAACAAACAGAAGTAGAGGGTGAGATGCAACGGCGGACCCCAGGACCCAAAACCAACAGCGACTCTCCGCCGACGACGAGGTGGGCCCCGAACCAAAGTGCCCACTGGGCTCATAAAACAAGGAACAATTGGAAAACCAAGGTCACCCCTCACAGTCGCCAAGGCAGGATGTCTATCACAGTTGCAGAGAGAGAGAGAGAGAGAGAGAGCAGTGACTGTGTTTACCACCTGGACCAGCTTCCTGCTCTCCCCACTCTGGCACTCAGGCCTCGGGAGCAGGTTGGCCCCCAGTATCTGCAGAGGAATATGCCACGAGACAACAGTGGAGCAACATTTAGTCTTGAGGCGGGAGGAGCAGGACCTAAGGACTCTACTCCCAATCAAGTAGTTATTTTCCCACAAAGGCAACTGTTCACACTTGATACAGTTGATAGGAGCTCTCAGAGTGGGCGAAATAGTGAGGACACGCATGAGAAAGCTCCAGAAGCAGGGCAACATTCAAGTCAAGGAAACAAATTCCAGAAAAGTCAAGGTTGGCCACTGTTGTCCTTTCTACCCAGCTCGTGGTCCAGAGCCCAGCATTAGGGGCTACCTGGGCCCAGAGACTAGAGGCCGAGGTCGGGCTCCAGGTTGGGACTTGAAGGTTACTGTACGCTGGTGGCTCATGAAGCACCTTACAGACATCATCGCCTCACTACATCCATTTACAGGAGGTACCACTCACAGCTCCGTTTTATTTCAAGGAATTACAGAATGGACGGCCTGGCTGGGGAACATCCCCACCCAGTTCCAACCCCAGGGTCCAGGACCCCACCCCTGACAGAGATGTCTACCAACCAATCACATAACCCAAAGTCCACTATTTCCAGGGACTGGAGGAAAGATCAAGGGGAGGGAAGAACATAGGAAGAACAGACAACAAAAGGGACAGACAGAGGAACTTTGCCTCTGGCATCCCAAGAAACTTCATCATGGGATGAGCATATGTTTGTATCAGAACCGGTCTGACCGCATCGGGACCCCAGGTAGGAGATGGGTGCCGTCAACAGGTGCTGGATTCTTCCCTCCTTCGAGTTTTTCCAAAAGGAACAAGGACAGACAGACTCTGTTACCCTCTTGACTGCAACTCAACTGTATTTTCCCTAACTCCCTCCCCTCCCACCAGTTCTCACTGAGGCAGCCCCCCCTGCCCCTCGCTGGTAGGCCCAAATCAATAAGCGGGGCTGCTGGGAAGTGCAGGTAGGTCGTACCGGGCCCATCACCTCCCACACCCCGTGCTGGGGCACCTTGCCTTCACTCCTCCAGCTGGCACGTAAGGGCTTAGGGCACAGAAAAGCTCGTATCTCACATCAAACAAAATTCTGATTCACGGGTACGAGGGAAGAACATGGCAGAGGAACAAAATCAATCACAGAACATCCAATACTGGTGTGTTTGGGAAGGTTGAACTCAGGGCTAACTGAGGGACCCCGGGCCTGGCTCTGGGCGCACACAGGGGGCTGAGGGGAGGGAGCAGCAGACAGATTTGGCTGAGTGACGCTGCAGGGTCACCCTAAAGGCGAGGAAGACTGTGGAGGACGGGGGACGTGCATGCACCCCTCCCTCCCCTACACAGCCAGAGCTGAGAGCCACAGCCCCTCCAGTGGACATGGGTCTGCAGGGCCCGAGACCCTCTGAAGTGGCCCTGCCTCCATCCCTTCCATCTTCAAAGTGCATTTTCAGTGCAAGAAGTAGGACTGGATCCCAGGGGGTCCGACTCTGAGAAAGGGCTGTGCCAGCCAGCTCCCCTATCTCCCCCTGCATCCCCCAGCCCACCCCTGACGCTTTTCACGCTAAGACCAGAATTCTTGCTGGATCTCGTAAGAGGCAGGCCTGTGTGTGTTCAGTTCAGCGCGACACAGTGGCACAGTGCTGTCCTGACTCTGGCCCTCTGCGTCCAGGTCCAGGAGTGTCCGCTCGGCGGGGGGCAGCGGCCCCGCCTGGAACGGGAGCAAGGCTGGCAGCCCGGGCCGCTCCTCCACAGTGCTGCTGCTGCTGGCCAAGCAGGAGTCCAGGTTGCTGGGGGTCTCTGTGCTGGAGCTGTTAGCTGGGGAGGTGCTGCGGGCATGGCTGGGGGACACGAACCACCAAGGGTCCAGCCGCTGCCGGTTGGCAGAGGGCCGGGGCCGAGGCAGAAACTCCAGGGTCTTGGGTCTCTCCAAGGTCGAGTTCTGCTGTGTGTTCCAGCGCCTCGGGGTGGGGGGAAAGACGACATTGGGGTCAGGGAGACGGGGGAATTCACCGGGGTCTCGGCTGGGGCTGGGGGTTTTCAACATTCCTGGTCAAAGAGACAAGCAGAGAGGCATCAGATGAGGGCAGCTGGTTTCTGGGCCGGGCACACGCTTCTCCATCCCCACCCTGCCACAGCCCTGCCTACTAGGGACGACACGAACAACAGGTATTCCATGAGCACCTACTGTGTGTTGGGAGGCACTGGAGATACTACACAATAGTGAACTAGAAGGTCATGGTCACTATATCTGATAATGATAATGGGACACATGGGGGTTATGTCTGTAATCAAATTACTTAGCACAGATGTTGGCAAACTACAACTCACAGGCCACTCACCCGTGTTTGTGAATGCAGTTGACTGGCCCACAGCCACACCCACGGCCTCCTGTCCCACTGCAGCGGCAGCGTGGAGCAGTGACAACAGAAACCGTAGGACCCACAAAGCCTGAAGTATTTATTGCCTGGCCCTTTTCCAAAAACCTTCGCCCACCCACACTTAAGAAAATGTCTGTTCACTCACATCTCATCCCTTTACAAACATGCGATGGGAACAGAGCTAGGTATCAGAAATTTAAAATAGATGAGTGGTACAGAGGTCTCTGCCTTCAAAGAGGTCACATATTTGTGTTTAACAACAACAACAAAATCTAAAGAGGGGAAGGACAGCTGAATGGTCAAATACAATGATCATTTACAGGCAAATCTTGCTGGAAGGATATGGCCAACCCCTCTCCCACTAGATTAGAGGTGGTTTCCAAGTCAGACCCAGGTCTCCCAGGGAGGAAGGGACAGTGATGGGAAAAACCTAGGACGGGCGTATGCACGCCCAGGCATCACAGGCGTCACATGGAGATGGCAGGCCTATGTACAAGCACAGCAATTTACCGGGACATACTCCACTTCCGAACAGTCAGCCGTGAGTAAGGGGTGAGTGATGAAGGGCATGAGACATGGGCGGGCTTGTCTTACGGGTGTGCCCGCGCTAATGCTATAATGACAGGAAAGAGCACAGCTACGTGGCACAAAATACCCCTCCTAGGTGCAGGACAGGATTCCTTCCAGTCACTTCGGTCTCCTCTGCCAGGAACAAGCAGAGCTAGACCCCTGCCCCTCCTGTACCCTGACCGGCCCTCTGCGCCCGGGGCCAGAAGCACTGCACCGTGCGTTCCAAGACCTAGGGCCTGAACGTCCAGAGGAGTCCCGGCTCTGATCCTTCCTAACACCTGCCAGTCCCCTTCTGCTCCTCAGGGAAGACCCCCTGACACAGAGGACAGGCGGAAGTTGGCCGCTTCCTCCACCCCGGATCAGCCTGTTGTGCTCAGCTGAGTCAGAGGGGGAATGGAGCTCACTCCAACATCTCTCCTTCTGGGGGAGGCACAGAGGCCGGAGAGAGAACAGAGGAGGGGGCAGGACTCACCTGCTCCGGGGCTGGGGCTCAACCCGTTGCTAGAAGGGCTTCTGCTGGCTACGAGGGCCGCTGGCTTGAGGGCCCCATCAGAAGGAGTCCGCCGGTGACCACTGGGCTGCGTGGGGGCCGTAAGGGTGACGTGGGTGGGAGTCAGGGATTGGTTGGGGTCTCGTTTGAAGCGCTCCACTCGGACGTTGACCAAGGGGTTGTGGGTGCAGGGCGTCAGGGGTGGGGCCTCCACTGGGCTGACAGGCATCTCGTAGACCACGATCTCGTCGCTGTCCGAACGCAGCAGGGAGCGGGTGGAGTTGCACTCGGAGATGGAGGAGAGAGACAGCAGTGTGAGGGAGGCGGAGGGGTCTCCGAGCAACAGCATGGGCTCTTCCTTCTTGAAGAGCTTCCGGGATGGGGGGCTGGTGCTCCGACGAGGACGGCTGGCCCTCTGAAAAAGACCTTCACGCCTCTTCTTCTCCTCCCGGGCTGGTGGCTCAGGCTCCTCTGGGAGAGGCAGCTGGCACTTGCCAGCTTCCAGCAGGTCAAACCCTAGGCCTGTGGCTGCGAGAACAGCCCCACAGCCGAGCAGAGCCACCTCACAGCGGCGGTGGTGGGCGCCGCCCCGCTTGAGGCTGTTGGTTGGCGTCAGCTGAGGGGTACTAGTGGTTGAGTTGACAGGAGTGGGCTCCTCGTGGGCTCCGTCACTGGAGGGGCCATCCCCGTCTTCCCCACGAGGGAATGGGATACAGAGGTAGGACTGGTTGGATGAATGCTGTAGACGATTCTCCTCACTCCCTGGGCCTTCGCTATCCTCATCCTCTGTAAAGATGAGATGAGTGGGCAGGAAATGAAAAATGGGAATGTAGCAGCAAGAAGAAGATTCTGGTCCTTCTTCCCAGACCCAGGCCTCCTGGCTTAGTGTCAGGTACACTAAGTCTGATAGGTGGGACCAAGGACTGGGCACTGAACCAACAGGGCTTTACCCGCCAATATGCAACTGTGGCCAATGAGAAATCACCCTGCATTCCAGAGCCTGCTTCCCTATTTGCGGAAAGGGGGCTGCTGACTTGCTACTTCTTTCACAGGGACCCTTGACACAAGAAGCACAGTGAGTTTTTTAGAGCATTGGACAGAACAGAAACATCCCTGATTTCTCTGCACCTTGGAAGCACAAGGGACCTTGGACTTGTAGAATGACAGCCTAGACATTTATTTGTCTTAGGACTAGACTCCTGCAAAGGATTGGAATTCCCTACACGAGTGAAGGCCAATTTACTCCATAGACTGACCTACTCCGACCCTGGAAATCTACAGAGAGAAATAAGAGGACTATCTGAGAGTGAGCCTGGGGAAGACCTTACCCATTCAGTAATCAGGGGCAACCTTACAAAGTTTCCTTAAGAGGAAGACTGTAGCATCTTCTACCAGCATCTCTTGTTTTATGGACTCCCCACTAAAATTCCAGGAAACAGACCCAGAATAGGGAAATGCCTAATTCAAGGCCTCACCCTTCTGCATTGCCCTAAGGAGCCTATAACTGGCCCCTTGGGATAGAAAGTCAAGGGCAGGCTCCATGGCAACAGGAGTGCTTTGGGAAGATTCAATGAAATGGGAATGGGACAAACGAAAAGGAAGTAAGGTAGGGGGTGGAAATCTGAGTAAAAGAGGAGACGACCCCCATGAAGTTATATGAGGGCCTTAAACAGTCCTAGAAGCTTGGCCAACAGCTCTCTGAGAGAATGGGGACAGAGTCAAGACAAGGGCAATGCTTACCCATCTCCATAAGGCTGGTGAATCCCGGCAGAGCCGGGCTACTCCTCGGGCCCTTTCCCAGGTTGGGGGCACTGGATGACCACTGTTTGTATCCATCTACCAGGGACTTGAGGCTAAATAAGGGGAAATGAGAGAACTGTTAATATTGGCTACTTCCCTTACTCCACCCTCAGTTTTAGGAGTCTGTGAAAATGTGTCTACCTTAATTACATCAAAGCCCAAGAGTCCTGGGGTACAGGCAACAAACCTTCCTGAGCCCACCTGCTTCATTAACAAAAGTGCACATGCTGCAGAGAGACCGAAGCAGTGGCAGGACCCACCCCCTCGCATGCTGCTTGGGGCTGTGGAAGGATCTGATGGGCGGGCTGGAAAGAGGAGGGAAAGAGGAAGAGGCGCCCAGCACCTGCCAGGGTCTTGGCTGAGCCCATCGTGAGGGAGAGGCCATCAATACACAGACACCAAATACAGCACACTGGTGACATCAGAAACACTGCAATGCAGAAACTCGCAATGCAAGCCAAGCACCGGGTGGACGAGCCAGCAGAGATGCACCAGGTCACTCCATTCACATCATTTCTTGCTTTCTCCTTCCAAGCTTATAGCATGCTTAGGCAACTTTCAAAAACAAAAATCAGCCAACAAAGCTGCACCCACCCAGTGCACTTGGGGTCAGACCTATGTGGGGAGCAGGTAAGGCTGCATTTGAGCCCTCGGTTTGTCTGGGGCTGGAGGGCAAAAGGACAGGAGCTCACTTTCGAATCCCTGTAATCAGCTCACACTAGCAAGCCGGCAACTCCGGGACACAGACTGGGAAGCCCACTAACCCCCTTATAAACTGAAGGAATCAGGGGCCCGAAGCACTGGTCTTTTCCCTTGAGAACAACAAGAGGAAGGACAGGAATCTATGCTATGGCTGCCTTAGAGATACCAGGATCATAACCAGAGGTGGCTCTCATTTTAGGGCTGGAAAGAGCCATTCACCTAAAGTCCTCTCTTCCTAGCCTATCTTGAGGGCCAGAGAAGGACCAACTTTTTCCTGGACTTCAGATCTCTGTTTCAAGTGCTATCACAAATACCAAAGAATTAAAATACATTCCAAACTCCAGTGGTGTAAACCAAAATACACAGCCAGAGAGATAAGCATGCTGCTAAATCCCTGGCCTGGGACTTCTAACTGGTAATCTTATAACAGTGCCTCCAGCTCCGGATCCAAGGAAATCCAGATTAGCAAAGTCAGAGCCAGCGCTACAGACCAAAGGAGAAATAGCCCAGCACTATCTTCCTAAAACTAAGGATACCAGGAGAACCCCAACAATAGGAGGGGCCAGAGAAGTGAACAAGGTAAAGTCAGGCCAACACAGGAATTTTCCCAAGGTGCACAACGGTACTGCTGGAAAAAAAAAGGTTAGCACAGCCTGGCAATAACGAGGCTTGATGCTGCGGGGTGTGCTGTGAGAACAAGGAAATGGAAGGGCGCGTATTGCCAACACATCTGAAAGGGTGCAAATTCGACTCACCCCAAGTGGAAATGTGGAGATTCTGACGGGGTACTTAAACCATTAGCTTTCTCACGTCTCTGAGGGGATCTTCAATGAATAAAAAGGATCAGCAGTCGGCAGCAGCGGGGGCATCCAGCTCAGCCTCTCCCACACGAGACCCCTCAAGGCTGGACTCGAACTGCACGACCAGCTGCCCTCCCCCTGCCCGGTCAGCAAAGCTCACACCATGAAGGGATCGTTACCAGATGGCCCTGCTGGAGTTGCTACAGACCAGGCAGGGCCTCCCAGTCTCTGGGACAAAAGTCCCGGGGCAGCGACAGCATAATTCCAGGAAGGAGCCTTTGAACTCACAGATACCCGAGCTGTCTGCAGACAAGTGCATGTTTCCTACAAATGTGGACAATTTTTTTTTAAGTATGAAGAGCCAAATTCACTTAACATTACTACGTTCAACACAGCTTTATGTCATTACATATTTTATTTAGCCAATAGGGACTAAATTTAGAAATACTGTCACATAGAAGCGCTCAAAAACTCCTGACATTAAAGAGGTCTTTCAGCTGAGACTGGGTGGAATACATTTTATTTCTTCAAGAGGAAATTGAGAATCATGTCACATATTTTGAACTGCTTCAAAAGTTTTGAGGGCAAATCCATGTAAAAAGGAAGAAAATACCAAAGTTCATATTTTATAATGCAAAATAAACTTAAATTTATTAGCAAGACAAAAAAAAATCTTTAACTGAGGCTGAACCACAGAAACTATTGGGATCCACAGCCAACCTGCTAAGTCTCATCTGTAATCACACTAATGTCAGAAATACCACGGATTCAGGGCGACTGAGCTCCTTGTTGGCGCCAGCTCACCGCTACGGCAGCCTAGGGCTCCTGCAGAACTTAGCACAGCAGAGCAGCCTGCCGTCCCCAGAGGGCTCGACCAGTGGACCCTTACACAGCTTAGGTAGTTTGCCCTGCATAGCTAAATTTTCTATCCCACGGTCTCTAGCAATTTCCAAAGCCTGGCTTCAAACAGTCAATCCTTTAGGAAGCAAACAGTTATTCTCACCTTCGGCTCACATCAGACATAGGGAAACAGAATTGGACATGAAATCTTAGTGTTCAGAGGAATGCCAAGGACAACGATAGGTTCAGGGCACCTATAAGCCTAACATTCAACTTAGAAGCTCTTCGGAAAGCCACTAGAAAGAAGCAGGATGCTGCTTATATTCACACAAGGAAAAGTAAAAAAAAAAAAACCATGGTCCTAGATTCTAACACCAAGAGTAAGAAGTATAAATATTATGTTTGCTCTCCAGGTATGAAACTGAATTGCATTAGAAGCATGGAAGAAGCATAGCGAATACTTACACATGCTTACTATGAGCCAGCTAATCTTCTCTGGCACTTCACAAAGAAGAACTTATTTATTCCTCCAACTCCATGAGATGGGTATGGATATAATCTCCATTTATAAAAAAACATAAAGTCCCACCCTGGCTGGCGTAGCTCAGTGGATTGAGCGTGGGCTGCAAACCAAAGTGTCGCAGGCTCGATTCCCAGTCAGGGTACATGCCTGGGTTGCAGGACACGGCCCCCAGCAACCACACATTGCTGTTTCTCTCTCTCTCTTTCTCCCTCCCTTCCCTCTCTGAAAATAAATAAATAAAATCTTAAAAAAAAAAAAAAAAGAAAACATAGAGTCCCACAGCTAGTCATGGGGAGCCAGGATTCAAACCCAGGCAGGCCAGGGTCAGCATCCAAGTTCTTCACTGCTGTACCACAGTGACTGGCCTCTGAAGGTCAAACACCAGGAGAATTTGAGTCAGAGGCTACAAGGCCACAGAGATAACACAAAGCACATCTAAGGCACCTAGATTTGCTCTGTGCTTTGCCCAGAGGGGCGCTCACACCTGTCAGTGTGGCCATGGGGTGGGGTCTAGAAGAAGTTCCTGTGGTCCTGGAGTTCGAACTGCTTCACCAAGGCTGGATTATCCTACCTGCCCCAGCTTCAGCATGAGCTTCCAGTCAAGAGAGACCCATAATCCACTCTTACTTCTCTTTCCTCCAAGCAGACGTTTTAAGGGGGAGAGCCAGATATAAGTACGATACTCAGGCGGAACACGTCACATGTAGTTCATGCTTCAGGTACTTGCTGCTCTGAGAAGGACACCTCCAGGGGTCGGTAAACTCACCGTGGGCTAGATTCTGCCCACTACCTATTTTGCTTTTGCATCTCATCCACGGTCTGAGGCTGCTTCTGCATTGCCACCCTGAAGCTGAGTAGGCCCACAAAGCCTAAAATATTTATTTATTATCTGGCTCTTTATGGATAAAGTTTGCCAACCCCTGTCCTAGGAGGTTCCAGGGGAAAGGAGATGGGCAAACTCGGTTGTCAAGATCAAGAAACTTAGAATTTCTCAGAAAGAAGTCAAACACAACAGAGAACAAGGTATTTCACATCACAGTTTTAAAAGGGTGTCCCGTCTTTAAATGAGAACTTCCCATCCCCTGGCTCTTACCCTTCGTCTCCTGAGCCAAGCTCCTTCTGACCAAGCGTGCCTGGCCCCCACGTCCGTCCCTTCTTCTTGGAAGCCCTTTTCTCCTCCTCCTCCCCTTCCTCCTTTGGGATGACTGAGCTCCGGCCCCAGGTTTTGCTGCTTTCACCTGGTGTCACTGTGAATAAGAAAGGTTAGCTGGGATCTGGAAACAGACAGCACTCTGTCTGGCCCCCACCAACCCCCATTCCCACCCCCGCCCTCCCAAACCAGCCTCCACCCAACCAGACACACACATACACACACACTTGGAGCTCCTGGGAAGAAGTTAGGCTTCTTCAAAAACTCTGTGTCTAGGTGGAGCCTCTCAGCAAAGTAATGGATTCTCAGCCACCAACTATTGAGCATTCTCCAAGTACCAGACATGGAAACATTTCCTAGCTCCCCGTGAATCCAATATAAAGGTGGAGCTTGGGCCAGCCAGAGCTCAGACCTCCGAACAGACCTGATTTAAAGAATTTGTTTCGTTGGGTGGAACTGGATTGTGGGGTGGGTGGTAGAGAAAAAAGGTAAGAGGAAAAAAGGAAGATGTGGGAGTGCAGAAATTTTGGTAAGAAAAGTGTTGGAAAGGAAGAAAATGAGGGTTTCGAGACTGCAGGGAAGGAAGTCAGGAGTAGGAGGGCAGGGGGAAGGCACAGGCCTAGAGAAACATAACAGATAAGAGGGGAAGCACATTCTTCTGAAATTGGTACTTTAGAGCATGGGCTGAAACCCAAATGCTTCAGAGACTTGGCTTATACCATAAGTGAGTGAAGTGACTCAGCTACCAAAAAATAGGGAGTTGAAGGAACTGAGGCAAAATACAGAGCATATGTGTGCCCTGAGTTCCAGCCAACCATGGCCACACGCACAAGGGAATCCACTGATTTGATTTGATTTTCCAAGGAAAGCCAGAAACTCAGAATTTTTTGATGAAATCTCTCTATCTTTAAATCAGGGAAACTAACTCATTCATAAACACACACACACACATATGTACATGTGTGTGTTTGTGTATGTATAAGTTCTTTTTAGTAAATACCTCTGTAAAAGTAAAATTGGTCCAGATTTGACCTATGGCAAAATACTTGGCAAGTTTTCTTAGAACCTACACTTTGAAAACACCCTTCCCCGGGAAGCACGAACGAAAGAAAAACGACGATGCCCCAAATATGGCAGAGCATAAGAGGTGTCCAGGCTACAGCACCAAACTGTATCCACATCACACACCAGTTTCTAAACCGCTTTGTACCCACAATACCTACAGACCCCTTTGCTGGTATCTGGCTAGGAGCAGGAGGTAGAGGAGGCAGTAGTAAAGCTAATGAAGGGAGACAAGGGGGAGGGCTAAGGTTCGCGTACATATGTGCATGTATATATACGCATTGTCGAGGAGAGGTGGCAGAAGTTATGGATGGCGCAAGCCTGGACCAGTCGCTGGCTGGACAGAGTAGGGGACAGGTGCCCCTGGTGTGTTCTGGCCCCAACTAATCTGGGAAACAGTCTCACACTGGATGGCTCGAAGGCGAGGAATGATGGTGGGGCTTGCAGGAGGACTGGAGCGACTGTTGATGAGACTCTTCCTTTTATCCATGGTCGGGGAGGCCTGGACCGTGAACTTGTGCTGGAAATCTGCTTGGGGAAAGATGAAACATATGCATTTGCATTAGAATTTTCCCACAATCAAATTACTCCAAGAAAACTGACCCTTCCTGGCAGGCTGGAGGGACAGGCCCTCTTTTCCTGAGAAACTCCTTGCTCACCCAGGAAATGGTCTCTTTCAGAATCCTCATCTCTTTTCCCCAAAAGATGGCAGGAGGCAAGATGAACGTACAAAGAGAAGGAAAATTCCTTATCTGAGTGAAAGTCATTAGGCAGTTTCCATAAATGCGTACGTGTGTAGCGATTACATATTTAGAATAGTCTTTTTTAGATCATGAGAGTAGTTGATTGTTCTAGGAAATCTAACTTTAAATCCTCCTCTTTATATAACCTATTAGTGCACACCCCCTCTTCTCGGGAACCAAAGCAGGCAGACGAATGCTTCTCACTAAGTGTAGGCAGCAGGGTGAGTAGTAAGAACTAATCCTTGGTGGGAACCTAGGGAAGTAAGGGACATGGGGCTAATGGGCCAAATTCTGAGGCATTCCAGAGGCAGTTGTGGTGCGGCCCAAGCAATGTACAGCTTACAGCTCTGAATGTCTGAGTATCATTCTCCTCCCCCATCAGAGAGGTACAATAATTACAGCTGCATGTTGGCACCTAAGTTTCCCCCTAGACCAGGGGTGTCAAACTCATTTTCACCGGGGGCCACATCAGCCTCGCAGTTGCCTCCAAAGGGCCCAATGTAATTTTAGGACTGAATACATGTAACTAGTCCTTAACTAGGGGCAAGGAGCTTGGCATTGCAGCCAGGTAGAAACAAGGGACCAGGCCCGATTAAAACAAGGTGGAGGGCCCAATTCAGCCCGCGGGCCTTGTGTTTGCAACCTGTGCCCTAGACTGTGATCTCCCTGAGGATGGGAACTATCACTTTCCCGGCACACAGCAGTATGCTGGCACATGCCGGATGCTCAAGAGGTGTTTCGAGACTCTGTTTTCTGAAAAGAAAAATAAAAGTACGACAAGGGCACCAGTAAACGGGTCCCCTGAACACATTCACTGACTTCCACTAAATAATTCCCTTGTCTGTACTTAAGCCATTTTTTTTTAATTTTTAAAAATTGATTTGAGAGAGAGAGAGGAAAGGAGGGTGAGAGAAACATCGATTTGTTGTATCCACTGACTGATGCATACTTACTGGTTGATTCTTGTATGTGCCCTGACCAGGGATCAAACCTGCAACCTTGGCATATAGGGATGATGCTCTAACCAACTGAGCTCCCTGGCCAGGGTTGGTTCCTTAACTTCTATTAAGCTTGCTTCCTGGGGCCTTAAGGACTTCAATCTACATGCACACTTGAGCACCCATCTCCTTTCATGGCTACACTGTGCCCCACAAGATTCTAATTCACGGTTTCATATTTTTTTGCATTTTCCCAAGGGTGTGCCTATCACAAATGTACTTGTATTCAGTTGATGTGTTTCTGAAAAGGTATGTGTAAATCACATTCTTACACATTAATCCTTCTTGAGATGAATTATTTTGCAGAGACAAGAGTTCTCTTGCTTCACACGTCCATAGTCTGGAGTTTGTGTTGCCCCCAATCACTTGCTTCCTTCTCCTGGTGTGACTAGCCACCGACCATGCTTCTAGCAGCCTGGCCCATGCTTGCCTGTCAAGTCCATCACCAGTTTGTCTTCCCTTCATATTCTGCGTGTAGTCTCAAAAATTCCCCTGGAGTTGGGTAGCGTCCAGTAGGCCAGTCTCCTCACTGAATAGAATGGCCCTTTCCAAACTGGCTCCCTGTTGAATCGCAGGGTCCCTTTTTCCAAGCACAGCCCCGGGCTCCCAGCACCCCGCCACTCCAGCCCATGCCAGGCTCCCGCCTCCCTGCAGCCCCTGGGCACTCACCGGAAGGGAGGCTGATGCGGTTTCCATCCTTGAGCTTCAGCCGGTTCTTCCGGAACTTGCCCTTGCGTTTCTTCACCCGGGGCTTCTCTTGGCACAGCTGGTGGATGATGATGTTGAGCTCCCGTTCCAGGATGTCGATCTCCCGCTCCGCCAGCTCCTGCTCGCGGCGCCGCAGCAGCTCCTCCTGCGTCTTCTGCTGCAGTGCTGCCCGCGTCAGCTCCTCCTCCCAGGTGCGGAGCTCCTGCGGGGGCAGGACCATCTATCTGTCAGGGCCCGGGGGCCAGGGGCGAGGTCCAACCTGGAGAGGCTCCCACAGTGCCCACACATCAAGTGCCCCACGGAGAGGGCTGCACAATAGTTAGCTGGTAAATGGACCCCTGACCACCTGGCTGGTGGGAAAGTAAGGCTCAGAACAGCCACACTGAGGATACAGCTCGAGTAGCCGCAGGCCACGCCGGGACTGATAGTTCCCGGTTGCTCCTTGATTATTGATTAAACTCTCCTGTGACTTAGGGAAAAAATGGGGGTTTGGGTAGAAAATATAACATGTAGTTAAATTTTACAGACTTGGTTCTATTTTCATTTTTTCCATCAAATAAGAGAATTATTTTTAAACCAGAAGTAACTTAATGTGATCCAGCTTAAAATGTGCCCACTGTAAACAAATCACCCTCCAGACATCACCTAGCATTCAAATAAAAGTAAACAGACTTCCAGCGTGGCTGTTCAAATGGCACGTGCGGTGCACTGGGTGAGTGAATCCACCGAGGCATGTGCTGGGAGCTCTCAGCTTATCTTAAAGGAGAACCATCTGCCCTGGGAAGATGGTGAGAGCGCAGCAGAGAGAAAGGAGAACATTTCCTGACGTCTGTGCCAGGCACTTGCTCTCCGACCGCGCCACGTCAGGTGGGCAGAACCTCTTCCCTGCCTCCCCGCTACCCCTCTCTGTGAGGTCATCAACGAACCCAGCATGGACTCCTGGGAAGGGGTGGGAGCTATGGACTCGGAAAACAGGAGAGAAAACAGGAAACAGAGCAAAGCATGTGTATACAATTTTAAAATATGAACCCTAAACTGTTAACACTGGGTACTCTGGGCCTAGGACTAAAGTGGGGTGGGGAAAGGAGAAAATTTAAGAAGCTTTCATGTCAATAACCTGAAAGAATCATGTCTAAAAAAGTGGGAAGCTTCTTCAATAAAGAAACCAGAGCAACACTTCTGTGGTCAAAACTTAAAATTCTTAATGACATGCTGCACTAGAAGTCATTCTGGACTAAAACAAAATACTGTAGATAAGGAACCTAGAGCTATATTTTAAAAAAGTATGTGAACTCAGATTGGGGAAGCTGAGCAGCAGGTAGAGAGCAGAAGAGAGAACGGTGATGGGAATAAAATATTCTGCAGGTAGGAGCTTTTCATTTGGCTTGTCCTCCATTCTCAAGAGAGTATCAAAATAACCATAAAAGTAACAGAAAGAAGAGAAATGAGAAGAAGCTTTGCATCTAAAAGACTGTCTGGTACACGGGAAGTGCTCAGTAGTTGCCGAATAACTGTCGAGTCAATGAATGAATAAATGAGAAAGGAGGAGATAGAAGACACTTTTATAAATGCAACCCTTCTTTATGGAACATAGATTCATCCTAAGTATCTACAAGATAAGCTTGAACTTTTGAGCTTGAGGAACTAAGTAAGCTCCAAAGAGATTAACTGTGCACCTTCCAGATCCTTGGCTTCCCTGGTCCACTACTTTGTTTTCACTGTCAGGAAAACAAAACTGCATGGAAGATCCAGAAAAGTTATTGCTGATTGGTTGATTTTGCTGCTAACTGGGAAAACTGAACAGTTCAAGACAATATCAGCCTTGCTAAGTCTGTTCTCCTGCATGCTCCTGTCTAAGGGATGGTTTGAGTCTAAGCCCTTTCCTTTAAAGGAACTCAAACCCCAGTCCAGAGACCAATCCATGGTCACAGAACCTAGAAGCAGCAGGTTGAGTCAACCGAGGAATAACTTGAATCACACAGGAAACCAGGACATTTACAGAGTACTCGCCTATGGCACCACATACCTGGAAGACCCTCACACATGGTAAATCCCCTTCTTGTGAAACACCTATTTAGGGATCAACTTCACAGCATGCAATTCACATTTCCCACATACAATAACGTAAGAGGAATCCCTCCAGAGAGAGAGCTCATTATTCATCTTATCCTCACTTGCCCAACTATGAGCCTTGTATTGAGAGGCACCACAGCATGGTGGTTAAGAGCAAGAACTCCGGAACAGGCTGCCTGAATTGTGGCCTCGGGCAATTTAATACGGGCCTCATCTGTGATATGGAGTTAAGAGCGCCGACATCACAGGGTTGTATTACATAAGATAATTATTATCTTATTATGTAAGATTATGTAAGAATTCATATAAGTGACTTATAATAGGCCATGGCACATAGAACACGCTCTACAAATGTTAGCTCTTAGGGGAACGGGTTTGACTTTTCCTAGTAACTACTTATTGACAAAATCCAACTTTCATTTTTCTTACTGGCTGGTACCCTTATAATCTCATCAATCAAAAGAAATAACCAAGAGTCCGTGATTCCGCAATCTAAAAAAAGGCCAGCAACTCTGCGGGTCTTCTATTTCGAATAGCATTTGTACTAGGAACGGCCTGTTTCAATCATCCTGCTCACTGGCCACTGCAGGTCCACCCTCTCTCCCCCTGGATCCCTCAGCATGCGTCACAAGCTCACTCCATTCCCCTGCAGAAGGCTTGTTGACTTCTCAAACAGCACCAAGTTTAGGATTGCTATGTTGAATAAAGACTTCGTCTTTTTAAATCAGCTCCAGAAATTACGTTTAAGTCATTTGTTTAGGGAAACAATAACGAGGACATTATTGGACAGGACATTAACGAGGACATTAGGGAAAGAGGACAGTTTTGGAATCAGAAGACCCAGGCTGAAGATTCTGTTCCCCTACTTACTAGATGAGTCACTGACCCTCGGCTCTGAACAGAAAAAGACAACACCTACCCCACGTGCTGGTGGCAGGGGCCATAAGACTCCTGGATAAAACGCAAGAAAAAGTCTCATCAGACCTTTCAAGTGAAAGAACTGGGAAGTCACGAAGACATGTATAATTTTAGTTACTATTGTTATCATATCGCTTCCCGAATTCCCATGGTGGGGAGTGGAAAGGGAGAAAGAAATTAGCCAAGTCTGTGTATAGACATCCCTCTGCCCCGCGCCGCAGCCCTTTGATTTAGTCCTGCCTCTGCAGCGCAGCTGCTTTGATTCGCTGCACCTGGGTGGACACTCGCTGCGCCAAGGGCCCAGAGAGGGGCCCTTTAAGGAACGGCCACCAAACAAGAAGATGGATATCTACTTGGCTCCATCTCTGAACTCCCCGGTCGGTTTGGGCTTTCGGCCCTTTTCATAAAAAAACATGAAAAATGCCAAACATTTCCAAGCCCATGGTGTTTTTAGCCCACGTGCTAGTTCTGATTCTGATACCAAAAGACACTGGCAAGATGTTCTGATAAATGTTCTCAGTGTTGAAGTGTCCCTGTATCAGGTTAACCTCTAGAAGTCCCTTGCAAAACCAAGAAATGTTTCTAGAACCCTACCGTATTTTCAGCTGGGAAGGTGAGACACCACGCTGGTACTTGCCCAGTGGTGCTGTCCCTGCGGTTTGGACAATGAAGACATTATGCTCAAGGAGAGCTTTGACCAATGACTCCCCCTACTTATCCCTGCCACATCCCCAAAAGAAAGAAAAATTCTATACCACTTCCGGTCACACTTGAGGCCTGGAGAATTCTTTCCGCGCAGAGCCAGGAAGGAAAGAACTGCCCTGTTAGCACAAACCAAGCAGGAAGGTTGGTCGTGCCAGGCTCTGTCCAGAGGCCCCACTAGAGAAGGTTCACTGACTCAGTGCATGCCTTTATCTTTTTTCTTACCTTTTCTTTGGCCCTGAGTTGGTCAAACATCTCCTGAATCTCATGTTTCCAGTCATCCTGCAGGCAGTGGAAGGAGTCCTTGGGCATTTCAAAGAAACCAGACTCCTCTATGGTAGTCAGCTGGTCCAGGATATTTGTGAAGGGTGGTCGTGAATGGGGGTCGGGGTTCCAGCAATCTTCATGGAACACGTGAGCAGACAAAAAGCATAAACGGACAGAGGTGAACTTAAGATTAGGATACTGAGTGACATCATTTCCAAAAAAACTACCTCTCATTTTTTACCTTCAGGAAACAGAGACTGGGGTTTGGGTCCACAAACTGGACTTAGGAAGTAAAGCAAGGTGCTCCACATCATGATTGTCATGAGTGAATTTGAAAAGAAAATGCAGCACTTCTGTACCCATCCGACAGTTACTGTGGATTTGGCACAAGAAAAGCAAGTCCAAAATTCCCTTGGGTGAAGTTCATTACCACAATTTAACAAGTTACTCATGATTCCAGTCCTCACAATGGGTAACACCTTGGGCCTCAATTTCCCCAAGCACTGGAGCAGGAGTCGGGAAAAGTGAATTCTTTCTACTCTCAGCTCAGCCCTAACCAATGGACTTTAGTTGCCTATGCTATCCCCTTTGCCTCTCTCAACTTAGGGTTTCTCACTTGCAAAAGCATAGGATCTGACTACATGTCTTTTAGAGTTCCTTTCTTCTCAAGTGCTCTTTATTTCTATATGTAAGACACTCAGAGGTTCTATGGCAAAAACTGCTATATGTCCTTAATGTGTATTAAGTACTAATATAAAAAATATTACAGTGATTTTCAACCTTCTTCATCTCATGGCACATATACACTAGTTACTAAAATTCTGTGGCACATCAAAACATATTTTTTTGCCTATCTGACAAAATATATAGGTACAATTTTGATTAATTCACACTGGATGGCTATTGTGTTGGCTGTTGTCATTGTTTTATCTGACAATTTAAGGGAAAGGAGGTCAGTGCCCCTGACTAAGTAGCAGGTATTGCACGTTTTAAAAATTCTTGAGGCACACCGGTTGAAAGCACTTTAGTGCTGGATGGCAGGCTTTAGTTACTAAGTCGAGATCGACAGTCACTGGGGATGGGCAGAAGGGACATGACATCTAAGACATCAATGTTTCAGGGTGTGGACATCATCCTGGAGCAGCTCTTCCAACTGCCTACAGCATTCCTCCCCGAGTGACTGACACTTCATCTCCTCTTTCAGTGACGGATCCTGCAGATCTGGCCAGAATCCATCGAGCGCTAATGGGAAGGTGAACTGCTTCCAGTTTTGTTCCGGCCAGGGCTCACTTACCTTCCATGAGTTTGGCAAAAGGTTCTGGGCATGTAGAAGGGATGGGAAGGGCGAGCTTGTTCATGGCCACTCCATAAGCGACTGCTAAGCCATCGATTCCTCGGAAGGGCACCTCGCCGGTTAGGAGCTCCCAAAGCAGCACCCCATAGCTAAGGAGAGGAAGAAGACAGGAGCCCCGTAATCCCCACAGGTGCAACTTCTCTGAAATAGCTCAGGGGGCCTGGCTGAGCATCCCACATTCTCTCCGGCATGTAGGGAGACTAACAAAACAGACATACTCATGTGTTATAAAAGGGAGACCACACGGCGACCACACGGCCTACAGGCTGAAAGCAACACCTCTGGTGTCAGGCACACTGTTTCAAAGTCCGTTCCTCAGATTCCTCACCTGTAAAGGGCCAATGACACTGGTAGCCTCTCAAGACCGTCATGAAATTAAGTGAGCTACTCTAGTGTTTAAATCAGTGCTCAAGGGCCACAGCTAGTTTGTCGTTGTTATTATTAATGTAATGAACTGGGACAAGGGGGAGCCTGCCCAAAACACATTTTTTCTGTTTTAAAAAAACTTCAGCTTCAGTCTCAAATATACATTTTTTTAGCTTTAGAAAAGCAGAGTGCTGACCATGCCAAACAAACAGATTTTTTTTCTTGTGAAAAACTTCTTTACTGCTCACTGGGTTGAACAGATTCTTGCCCCCATCAGTGAGTCCTTTATCGACACCTCTGTCTAAGTCAAAGAGGACAGGGTCACCAAGGTGGCCTGCACTGGGACAGTGCAGATCGTTGGCTGTGAGCCTTCAGAGTCCCTTCCCGCCCCTGCAAATCCACAGGTCCTAGGAGTCACAGAATGAGGAGCACAAAGCTTAACGGAGTAATTACTTTTACCAATTCATAATCAGAACCAGACAAAATTACAGAGCTGTCAATCCTTCCAGGAATAAGTCAGGACAAGAAAATGTGAGACCGTGAACAATTGGAACAGTGTCTCTCCTTATATTTTTAACACAAGCCTCAGAAATTTGAATACTCATCAGTAGTTCACAACCAACAAAAAGTCATATTAATTAAAAAAAAAAACAAAACAGTATCTATTGTATCACGGTAACTTGCACATGCAGGGTGCTATGCCATTTACAAACATCATCCCGAAACCCTACAACAAACCTGCAAGATGTTTCATCACCATTTTGCAGATGAGAAAAGCGAGTTTCAGACAGGCTCAGCAGCACCGCATTAAGGGTATACGTGAAGTCAGTCATGGCGGACCCTGGATTAACTCTCAATTCTTTCTCTCTAGAATGCCCTTCCACCATTTCTCCGCCTGGTAATAGTCCTTCACTCTAATAGTCTAATAGCCTTTCAAGATTCAATTCAAATGTACCACCACTTATTCATTTATTTTAAACATCTACTAAATATATAGGCATCAAGCTCAATGCCAGGCACTGGGATACAGGATGGAACACAGAGATCAATCCATGAAGAGATTAGTGAGAGGAATAGAAAAAAACATCAGTTAGAATGCAGAGAATGAGTCACAACAGAGACACTATGAGGGCATTAAGGGGCAGGGTGGGGGGAGGTCATCCAAACCAGAAGAGGACAGGGCAGGAGATTGCTAAACCTTGACTGCCGAGTGGAGGAAAAGTCAGTGCTCCAGAGACAGGGATCAGCATGTACAAGGGCATGAACTCGCCTTTAAAGAAGCCCAAGTGGCCTGGCACGGCTCCAAAGAGCAGCAGTGTGCCAACCAATACACTGGACATGGGCATTCCCATACATGGGACCCTCCGTGTGACCTGGCCAGTATCCTTGGGCAATGGCTTTACCTCAGTGACCCCTCTCCAAATACTATTGTTTTCTTTATGTATCTTGACAGAATTAAAGCCTGGTAGACGGTTGCAAGTCTTGTCTTGTCCTGTCTAGACAAGGAGTCAGATTTTAGAGTGAGGCTGATGGAAACAATTGGACACTCGAGGAAGCCTTCCCTAACACCCCCGGGTGTTACTCAGACTTCATTTGGGCTGACATATTGTAGCTGTTTGTTCACCAACCTACGGGCTCCTAGAGGGCAGGGATAGTAGTTTTCAATCTGCATTCCCAGGGCCTTGCCCAGGCTCTGGTACCTAGTAGGCCCTCACACAGTGAGGGAGTTGGTGGATGGGTGTGGGAGTACGTGGTGAGATGGTCCTGCAGGGTGCACTGGGTGCCCCGGAGTAAGCCCAAATGCCACCAAGAATGGCACTATTATACTTCCTATCAAAGCTTTCTCGTGACCCACCCAGACAGTGGTCATGCTGGGCAGCTTCTACCAAATGACCTCTAAGAATTCTCAGCACTGCTGATTAGATACCTAGGTTAGAGGGATGTTCACAAAAACCCAAGTCCCAAAGAACCCCTTTCTCCCTTCCAAGCAAAGATGACTGGTGTCTGAAACCTAATCAGCTGGAAAGACAGTAGAGTGCTTCCAAGGTCCAAACATGCATCCTCTTCGTGTCCTCGCACAAAGAGGTTTTCAGTGATGGTTTTCACGTGGAGCCCCAGGTGACCCACAGAGACGCCTCGGGCCACCTGGGAAAGGAAGGAGCCAGGCCCCCACCCCTCCCAGCGTCAACAAGGGCAGCTCTGCTCATACCTGGCTTGCTTCTTTGCTCCTCAGCATTCCACTCCACTTGAAGGCCTCTACAACTAAGTGAAATAAGAGGACTGCCACTCAAGAAAGATTGAGACAGACTGGAGCAAAATGCCTGCTTTACCACTTGCCAGCAGTGTGACCTTGGGAAAGCAAGTTCACGTCTCCCAACCTCAGTTCCCTCGTCTGTACAACGAAGACAACCATCCCTACACCTCACGGAGAGCTGCAAAGGATATATAACAGCTTCCCCTCACCCAGAAGTGACCATCTATGGCTCACAAACACTGTGTCTCCCCTTGGCGAAGACTTGAAATGAGAAAGTATCTGGTGGGATTTGGGGAGAGCCCACCGTGTCTAGAGAGAGCCTTGTTGAAGGACACCGGCCTTCTGGGAACTAAACCAGTGAAGGTTTTCCTCTGCCAGTGTTCCTGTTCAATTCTGTAACAGAAGGCAGGCAATACAAATGCAGTCTTGGTATTCCTTTCACAGAAACAGAGTCCAAGAAGGACACTGGAGAAACACACATTAGCTGGGCCTGAGCCCCAGGGAGAAGTGGGCAGGAGCCCTCAGTTCTACCTCAGGCTTATCCAACTTTGTTGCTCTCCTGGGACTGAGAAAAGGTCACGAGGGCCTTTCAAGACCATTTACAAGCAGCCTGGAAGTACCAGCTAAAACACTGCCACAGAGCCTCTCCCCCACAGAGAACTGGCAGCTCCCATAGCCCCGCCAGTGATTTCCCAACAGTTCTCATGCCTAGCCCCAAGCCCTCGGGGAATTCACCGGGGTGTCATTCATTAGCCACCTCCAGAGGTACAGTAACCCTTTCCACTGTTTGGTATGGTCAAAGGTGGGGGAGGGATGATATATTTTTTTCAACTTGAAGCAGAAATGCATCAGACGCACAACAACTGTACACCTGAATTGGACCAGGACTATTTTCTTACGAACCTGTGTTATCTCTAAATTAGAAATAACCTGTTTATTAGAGATAACTGTCAACTCAGGGGTCCATGCTCTGAAAGGAGTGGTGCCCCTTGAATGGGCTGTTGCACTTAAGAATCAGCTGTGACCCCACATTCAGGAATCACACTGTTTCTCTTTGGAAAAGACAACTGAACTTTCCATATGTGAAAACACTGTAAACTGTAAAGTAAAGTAACCTACAATTCTTCTTGTTGTTAACTAGACCTCTTTCAAAATGATGATGTATTTAATAACACATATAAGTAATGCATATATTAATATTTCTGACAATAAATATTTATTGATATGCTCACATGATATTATATTCAAAAAGTATCTTAATAAACAGATCACATTTTAAAGGATGGGTGGATGAACATGTGATTAGGAATAAGCATACCAAAATATCAATATAGGTTACCTTTAGAAGTGGGTGATTTTCATTTGTTTATCTATATTTTCTAATTCTTTTCTATCATGAACACATTTTACCACTGTAGTTTTTTTTTAAGATTTTATTTATTTAAGTTTAGAGAGAGGGGAAGGGAGGGTGAAAGAGAAGGAGAGAAACATCAATGTGTGGTTGCCTCTCATGCGCCCCCTACTGGGGACATGGTCCACAACCCAGGTACGTGCCCTGACTGGGAATCGAACCGGTAACACTTTGGTTCTCAGCCCACACTCAATCCACTGAGCAATACCAGCCAGGGCTTACCACTGTAATTTTAAAAATTTATAATGATCAAAAAGAGTCCCCATTTCATCCCCCATGTAACAGGCAAATGAGATCAAACACACACAGCACTCAGCATAGAGCCTGGCCAGTAAGCATCTGCAGGCGGCAAACACTGTTACCAGTGTGTGTGCATTGTGAGAACAGCAACAGACACAGGTTTTCTTCTGGTAAAGATGCAAGGTCATTTGGAGCCACTTGGGTGAGTAGGCTTGAGGAGGGAGGGATAAAAGGCTCATTTAATGGGTTCAACAGATGGTGTCCTAGAAAGAGATACTGCAGCATGGAAGCTCAAAAAGCTGAAACAGAACAGGGTGAGTTATATTTTCAAACCATATTCATCAACCAATCTGAGTCAGGAAGCTTAAGTCCTGGGAATAATTCTAACCTAGAGACCAACCAGCAGAGCAGACTGCATGACAAATTCTAAGACATCTCATCCAAAGTCTTGTTGATTGAAATTTACCTCTAACCTACTCCCCCCTTCAGATAGTAGAATAACATTAGATCCTCTCACCCAAGGCCCCTCAAGCCTGCTTTCAGGATCTGTAATTTAAGGGCAAGACCGAGAGGTCCATCTTGGAACAAGGACACTTTGGGTAAAAGTTGAAAGGTCCTGCCTTGTCCCTCCACAATGGGCACAGCCCTGCAATGGCCTTGCCCTTCTTTGCCTGCCATTTCTCTCACTGTGAGAAGTCCTACATTAGGCATTTGAGTTTTCCCTTCCCACTAGGAATGTACCTGGATACCGGAGGCAATTCTGCTCAAATCACTTTAGTAGCAGAAAGCTTTGGAATGTATGACAAGAAAACTTGAATGAGTTCAAGGTCAGGCTGGGAGAAGAGGCTAGCAGGAACACAGAAAGTAGAAAACAATCACATTACTGAGAAGTTATGTTTTCCCATGAAGAAGAAAGGTAAGAGGAAGTCGAGTGTGGCAAGTGGTTGGCTGAGTGGTCCCCTGAATCCATTCTCTCCCTCTTCCACAGCAAGAGGTTTAGCTGGGCACACAGTGTCCAGCGGGAGCTGACACTCGTCTGCCTCCTGGGGGCCAGGTGTGCCCACATAACCCAGAGCAGGCAATGGGGGTGTGCACAGAGGAGATGTGCCCAACTTCTGGGTCATCTCCAAATTAAAGACAAACTGTTCGCCATGCATAAGCGCTCTTTCCTCTTTTTTGCAGACTATTATGTAGAAGTAACAGTAAAGCAGATGTAAACATTCAGATAAGGGCAATGCATGGAGGGACCTGAAAGATCCTGGGTTCCCGAATGATCTCAGGGTACGGCTGCCCCACCAGCCTGAACTAACTGGACTACTCCTTAAAGGGAATACACTTCTACCTTACTTAAGCCACCATGTCAGTAGGCTTTTTGTAATAGCAGCTTAGTTTAGTTAATATATTAACTACACATATCAGCCTATGGACAAGCAATGAAAAGTATTAGCTTGAAGCACATGATATTGCTGTTTTTTATAGGTCAAAAACAGTTGAGTGTCAGTATACAGATCAATCTAATGAGATCTGGTCAGAGGTTTTAAATAAAGGAAAACTCTTTTCTTCACAATGGCTACTTCACCCTGTATTTAATGTGTGTTGAAATAAGATTCAATATACAGAAGCTATAAAACATCATTGAAACAAATTAGAGGCCTAAATAAATGGACAGATATCCGTTGTTCACTGTTCAAAGACTTAACATTAAGACAGTAATACTCTCCAACTAGATAGCCATATGCAAGAAAATACAGTTGGACCCCTACCTCACACCACATACAAAATTAACTCAAAATGGAACAGAGACCTAAATTTAAGAGTTAAGATTATAAAGCCCTTAGAAGAAAATAGGCATAAGTCTTCATGACCTTGGCTTCGGCAATGGTTTCTTAGATATGACACCAAAAGCATAAGCAATCGAAGACAAAATAACTTGGACTTCATCAAAATTACAAATGTGTGTTTCAAAGGATACCATCAAGAAAGTGGAAAAAACCCTCACAGAATAGAAGAAAATACTGCAAATCATATATCTGATAAGGGACTTGTGTCCAGGATATATAAAAGTATTTCAGAAGTATTTCAACATAAAAATTTATGTATCCTAATTTCTTAAATGGCAAAAGATTTGAATAGACATATATCCAGAAAACATATAAAATGACCAGCAAGTACATGAAAAGATGTTCAACATCATTAGTTACTAGGGAAATACAAATCAAAACCATAACGAAGTATGACTTACTATGTACTAGGATGGCTATAATAAAAAAGACAGACCATAACTAGCGTGAAAAGAATGTGGAGAAACTGGAACTCTCATACATTGTTACTGGAAATGCAAAATGGTACGGCCAAAGTGAAAAACAGTTTGGCGGTTTCTCAAAAAGTTAAACATAGAACTACCACGTGACCCAGCAATTTCACTCCTCAGTATGTACTCAGGCGAACTGATAACATGTTCACACAAAAGCCTGTACACTAATGTCCACAGCCAAAAAGTGGGAACAACCCAAATGTCCATCAACTGATGAACAGTAGATAAACAAATTGTGGTATATCCATAAATAGAATATTACTCACCTATTAAAAGAATGACGTTCTGACACACGCTAAAACATGAATGGACCTTGAAAACATTACACTAAAAAACGAAACCAGTCAAAAAAGACCACATATGATATGAACCCATTTGTATGAAATGTCCAAAATGGCTGCACAGAGGCAGAAAGTAAGCTAGTGGTTGCCAGGACGGGCTAGGGAATGACTGCTAACAGGTGTCAGGTTTCTTTTTGGGGCAATACAAATACTCTGAAAATAGATATTGGTTATAGTAGGTTGAGTGGTGGCCCTAGAAAATTATGTCCATGTCTTAATACCCAGAGCCCTTATTTGGAACAGTCTCCTCTAGAGTGTCTGGCGGGAGTGTGGCCCTGCTGACACTCATTATAGACTTCTGGTCCCCAGACTATAAATTTCCATCGTTCTAAGCCACCGGGTTTGTAGTAGTTTATTGCAGCAGTCCTAGGAAACTAGTTACAATGGTGATTGGTATAAAACTTTGTAAATTCACTAAAAACCACTGACATACTTCTTAAAAGGGTAAACCTTATGGTACATGAATAATAGTATCAAGAATGCTATTTATAATACACACAAGTACCCAAGTTTACTTTACAACACAACAGGAAACAACAACTTCACAGACTGAAGTACAGTGATAACCTGTAGTCCTCTCTCTTGCACACCAAGGTGATGCCGCTGTCTCACAGCCACGACGATGCCTGCTCGCTCTGTAGATGCTCCTCCCATCACTAGGGACAAGAATTTTAGATCCATGTCCTTGTGACCTCTTGGGCTGACATTTACTAGGGGGATGGCTGGTCTGTGACTCTGCATTTCTAGGAGCATGCTTGAGACCTGTCTTTTCCCATTCTATATCCATATTCAACAAACAGACTAAAAAAGTTAACCAGCTAACTGAAAGTAATCATTTCCAGCCCACCAAGAAAAAAGAGACAGCACAAAGAACACTTATCGGCCCAGGAGCTACTTATCAATCCAGCAATAAGAGCTACTATTGCTAAGCAAGCCAGGGTGACCCTGGTGAAGGTCTCCAGGAGTGACTGAGTGCCCTCACCACCTTGCACTCAGAGATGGGAGTGCACTTTGCCCCCGGAATGTGTGCATCTTCCCTGGGAAACAATCACCAACAGAGAGGGTCCTGCATAGATATGTACTTGCCACAGCACTGGAGGGGATTTCTGAGAGATGAAGACTTTGGAAACTGCCCCCTGGCAACATGGAAATTAGTGTAGATTGCTCTGAAGGGGTCACTCAGACCTACTTGGGGTTCCTGGGAATCTATGCAACCTCAATTCTCCAAGTCCTGAGCGTGTGCACAGCCAAAACAGACCTGGGGGACACTGACCCTGCCCTTCTGGACCTTACCTCCACACATCGCTGCCTTTGGAAAACATGGAGGCACGAATGACTTCGGGTGCCATCCAAGCATATGTCCCTGCCGCGCTCATCTTGGTGGTTCGGTGCCATTCCCGAGCCAGGCCAAAATCAGTGATCTTCAGAATCTTGTTGCTCAGGTCTCCATTCTCCACCTTCTGGAGGATCAATACTAGGCAAGGAAAGGAATAACAGAAGAAACCAGAGAGTCTGCATTAATCACAGGGAAACCACAAAATACAGAGCCCTCCTGACATCCACATGTCCTCTCCTGCAGGCTCCACCGCGCAGCTACCATGGACTGACTGATGGTAGGAGCCACCACCTCTTACACACCTGCGACACATCCATTTTTATGCCAAGTTTTTGACAGGCATTATCTCCAACCCTCACAAGAGCCTTATGGGGTACATACAACTGCCATCTCTGTTTTACAGAGGAAACTGAACTATAGCACCATTCAATACATTTTCCAAGGCCACCAACTAATAAGCCAGGACTGAAGCTCAGGCAGCCTAACTCAAGAGCCTTCTCTCTTAACATTGAAACCATACGGCCCATTCATGCCCTAGGAAAGGAGCTGTGCGGTCACTGCTTACCCTCCTTACGGAGGGCTACTTGGGCTCCCTGTCTGCCAGGGCACCCATGGGCTATGACCACTCTCAGACCACAAGGAATGGAAGCGCATGTTAGATTTTCAAGGTTTCAGTGTCTGAACGGTTTCCATGAACTAGTCAAGTTTATTTAAACCCTTAAGGAAACACATTTGGGGACAAAGAGATTTCCCTTTAATCCAGGAACTTAACCTACCTGTCGAGAACTGGCTGACAGGGTCAGAGGGCACACACATGCTCACACCTACGATGTTCTCGGTGAACATGGCCCAGGAAGAAAGAACTGGTGCACTGGGCTGCGCTGTCTCCCAAGGAGTAACACCAAAGCACCGTGGTCCGGGAGCCATCTTGGCGTTCCTAGGAGAGCAGCCAAGGCAGCCACCTCACCCAGGACGGTTCCAGTGGCAAGTGTGTGTGGCCTTGTGGGAGCCAATCTCCCCCGAAAGGGCAAAAACACTAAATGACTACAGTGCTGTAAGCTACGCCAAGGAACTCTGCCTAAGGGGGCAGTTGTCAAACTCGCTGGATCTGTGGAAGATGAGCCTCTGTTTTCACAAGAGGGATGTAAGGCCTGGGATCAGTTCAATCTCTTGAATCTCACTGGGCCATGTGGGATTCAGAGTGCTGAACACAGGATTTCAGGGAAGAAAGGAAGATTCTCTTTGCCACTCAGAGAGGGTTAGGGGGGTCAGTTTTAGGGCAAGGGACTTAGGCAGGTCCCTCAAGTCACATAACTGTACTCTTCCTGCTGTGCCCACCGGCCCCCCACCCACCCCCAGCAAATGTCCACTGAATTGTTACCATACTGAAAGGACATTGGCCAAGGATCTCTAAATCCTGGGTGCTTCTCAGAAACCATCAGTACAGAGGGATTACAAGCAGCCAAGGAGCTGGAGGCACAAAAGGAAACAGTGCCAGCCACTCCCTAGATCTAATGGACTAAGACTCCCTCCTCCACACCCTCTCCTCCGACACACCCCTCCTGAGCTTCCATCATCCTGAAAGGGTCCAGCCTCTGAATGCTTGGGCAAATTATAAAAACAACAACAACAACAACAACAACAGAAAACAAGCCTTTCTCCATGTCATCTAACAAAAATCTTTTCAGATCTTTCTGTCTCTTTCCCCTTCTCCTCAAACAGAGATCACAGACAAATATGCACTCAGGTTGCTGACCCTAAAAGACAATGACACTAAAGAAGCCCACTGTTCCCTCTATAAAGGGGCCACCAGCTGCTGACCATTTCTCTCTGAGCCGACCTTGAACCAAAGGTTCAGAGGGAACCCTCCCCCTTCCATAATCCACCAAATCTCCAGGTGGGCTGGGATGGGGTGCAGTGGGGAGGAAGGTTAGAGTTTCAAGGTACATATGGAAGCATCTGAACTTCCTCATACTCTATGCTGGAGAGGGAAGCAGAGAAGTTTAGATTCTGTTACAGGAAATGGATTTTTAGCCACTGAATGGCATACTGAAGATGATTTTTTTTTAAATGGCAGAATGATGGAGATGGGGCAAGAATCAGTCTGGAGTAGTGGGTCCGAATGTAAAGGCCTATAATAGTGCAGGTCCAGCTCAGTTTCACCTAAGCCCCACCACTCCCTGCTGTCTTACACCCAGCCAACCTCAAACATTTATCCCAACAGGGTGGGCCCTTAAAGGCATCTGAGTTAGAAATCCCTGCCCTCAGCCAACAGGAGAAGCTGTAACCAGAAGCCAGCTAATTTTACAGATGACACGATACTGTATGATCGAGAACCCTAAAGATTCCACTGAAAAGCTACTAGAACTAATACATAATTTCAGTAAAGTAGCAGATTATAAAATAAATATCCAGACATTAGTTGCATTTTTATACAACTAATAATGACAAACAATAATGAACTATCAGAAAGGGAAACTAAGAAAACAATTCCATTTACAACTGCATCAAAAAAATATCTAGCAATAAATTTAACCAAGAATGTGAAAGGCCTGTATCAGAAAATTGAGATACTGAAGAAAGAAACTGAAAAGGATACAAGTGGAAGTATATACTATGTTCATGGATAGGAAGAACTAACATTAAAATGTCCATACTAGCCAAAGCAATCTATAGATTCAATGTAATTCCTATCAAGAGGCAAATGGTGTATTTCACAGAACTAGAACAAATATTCCAAAAATGTATATGGAACCACAAAAGACCCCAAATAGCAACAGCAATCTTGAGAAAGAAGAACAAAACTGGAGGAATCATGCTACCTGATAACAAACTATACTACAAGACCACAGTAATCAAAACAGCATGGTACTGGCATACAAACAGACATATAGACCAATGAAACAGAACAGAGAGCTCAGAAATCAGCCCATGCCTGTACGGTCAATTAATATTTGACAAAGGAGGCAGAAACATACAATGGGGTAAAGACAGTCTAGTCAATAAATGGTGTTAGGAAAATTAGAGATGTGCCCCCCAAAATGAAACTAGATACCTTCTTACATCACATACAAGAATAGACTCAAAACACATTAAAGACTTAACTGTTAGACTTGAAACCTTAAGAACCCTAGAAGAAAACACAGCCAGTAAAATCTCAGACATTTCTCATGGCAGTATTTTTCTAACATATCTCCTCAGGCACAGGAAACAAGCAAACAAACAAAATCAAACGAGTTAAGACTACATCAAACTAAAAAGCTTTTGCACAGCAAAAGAAACCATCAAAAAAATGAAAAGACAACCCACAGAATGGGAGAATATATTTGCCAATGGTATATCTGATAAGGGGTTAATTCCAAAATTTATAAAAACATAAAATTCAACACCAAAACAAACAAACAATCTAATTAAAAAAATGGGCAAAGGACCTGAATAGACACTTCTCCAAAGAGGACATACAGATGACCAACAGACATATGAAAAAATGCTCAATGTCACTAATCATCAGAGGAATGCAAATCAAAACCACAATGAGACATCATCTCACACCAGTCAGATGGCTGTTATCAATAAATCAAAAACAACAAGTGCTGGTGAGGATACAGAGAAAAGGGAACCTTTGTGTACTGTCGTTGGTGGAAATGCAGGCAGGTGAAGCCACTGTGGAAAACAGTATGGAATGTCCTCAAAGTAAAAATGGAACTGCCTTATGATCTAGCAATTCCACTTCTGAGAATATATCCACAGAAACCCAAAACACCAATTTGAAAGAATGTATGTACTGCTTTGTTCATTGCAGTGTTATTTACAATAGTAAAGATCAGAAAGTAGCCCAAGTGCCCATCAGTAGATGGGATAAAAAAAAAAACCTGTGGTACATTTACACAATGGAATGCTACTCCACCGTAAAAAAGGAAATCTTACCTTTTGCAACAGCATGGATAGACCTGGAGAGTATTATGCAAAGTGAAATAAGCCAGACAGAGAAAGATAAATACCATATGATCTCACTTATATGTGGAATCTAATGAACAAAATAAACTAACAAACAAAACAGACTCAATGACAGAGAACAGACTGACAGCTGTCCAAAGGAGGGGATTGGAGGGCTGGGTGAAAAAGGTGAAGAAATTAAGCAAAGAAAAAAAAAGAAGCCAGCTAGTAATCTTAGGAGATGGTTACAGCCAATGATTCTCAACAACAGTGTCTCAACATATTGGTATCAACCAAGCATCTATTACTAGTAATAATTATGGTTATAAAGTCTGTGAAAGCTTTATGTTTTCCAGAGTTTTTTTTTCCATTGAGATGAAATTCACGTAACATAAAAATTAACCATTTTTAAAGGGAACAATTCAGTGGTATTTAGTACCTTCACAATGTTGTACAACCACCACCTCTATCTGGTTTCAAAATACAGGGTCCAGCACAAATAACACCCCTTTTTATCACACAATCTTTTATTACAAAATCATTAGCATGTAATTCTGTAACATAACAATATCACACTCAAGTACACCATAGGCCATTTTAGGTGAAATGTGCAAATTAAAACTATAAATTATTACACCCATATTATTGCCCTACCAACCACACTCAAGCAGGCACTACATCTGCCAGACCCTGTATTTTCATCACCCTTACAAGAAAACCCCATACCCATTAAGCAACCATTCCCCATTCTCCCCTCCTCCAAGTTCCTGGCAACCACCAATCTGCTTTCTCTCTCTGTGGACTTACCTAGTCTGGATATTGCACATAAATGGAATCATAAAGTAAGTGACACACATGGCTACTGCACTGAGCATATTTTGAAGCTGCATCCATATAGTGGCTGTGTCAGTACTTTGTTCCCTTTTATGGGTGAATAATACTCTGTGGTGCGGCTACACCGCGGTATCTCTATCCATCTGTCCATTGATAGACACTGAGGTTGCTTCCATCTTTTAATTACTGTGAAGATTTTGATTATTGTGGATAGTGCCATGAACATGGCTGCACATGTACTTGTCTGAGCACCAGGGATGTGCACACCTAGGGGTGTATACCTAGGAGTAGAATTACTAGGTTACACGGTAATTCTGTTTAACTTTTTGAGGAATCACCCAACTGTTTTCCAAGGTAGTTGAACCAAT